CGAAAGAGGAGTCACCTAAGTTGTAACTATAGTCTGCAACATGTTGCAGATGGACTACTTTGCACTTTGAAGTGTTGAAGGTAAGTCCGTTGTCGTCTGCCCAACTTTGAAGTCGGGTCAGATCCTCCTGAAGTACTAGTATATCCTCTCCAAAGTTTCACATCATCAGCAAAAAGCAATGTCAGATGAAACTTGTTGAGGAAGTTTGTTAATGTAAATCAAGAAGAGAAGAGGTCCTAGTATTGAGTCCTGGGGGATCCTACTGGGACATTTCATAGCCTGAGAAAGAGTGAAGTTAACCGTGACCTTAAAATGTCGGTTTTCTAGATATGAAGTGAGCCAGACAATCAGAGTTGGTTTGATACCCAATCGTCTAAGCTTATTGATAAGACTTATGTGGTTGACCCTATCAAAAGCTTTTGAGAAATAGAGGTAAATGACGTCAACCTTCCCCTTGCGATCAAGGATTGTTGTCCATCTATCCACCGCAGTCAGCAGGTTGGTCATACAAGAATGACCCTTTCTGAGGTGAGAACTTTAGGGATAATTAGTATTCTTGTATACCGTCGTATATTAGAGATTCCATAGTTTTAGAGGGTATGGAGAGAGGGACCACTGGTCGGTAGCTTGAAGGTTCACTGCGTCGACCTCCTTTGAAAATTGGTGTGATGTGAGCCAGCTTCCAAATTTCCGGCAGTTTGCCTCGGCTTAGCCAGTGTGAAAACATCAAGCTAAATGGTGATGCCAGGATTGAAGTTGCTTCCCTCAATATAACAGAATGAACCATATCCGAACCGGGAGAAGTGTCTTTTCTTACGTGCTGCAGTTTACGGAGCACCAGGTCCACTTTGGAAGGTCCTGTGCAGGTACAGGTGAAGTTTTCGTCAGTATAGTTGATGTGGGTCGGTTGAAATGTCTGAGAGTATTGTTCAGCCAATAGATTAGCGGCATCACCGTTGTTATTGGTCGGACTATTAGGACCTAGCAGTTGGGAAACTCCAGTTTTGCCTTGTCGAAGAGAAGCTGAGTAACGGAATAAGATTTTCGTATAAGTGGCAAATTTATCGATAACCTTGGTCTGGTACTGAGGCCTGCCTTCTCTTATTGCCTTTGTGCATATGTTCTTCATATGTTTATATTGCATGTACTCGCCGTTATTGTCAATTCGTTTATATTCGGCCCAACAGTGCCTTTTGCAGCTTAGCAAAGGAAGAGTGCGCTTCTTGATTATCGTAGGTTGTTTGTAGATCTTTAGGACCATTTGAGGAACTGAATGCTCAGTAGCACATAAGATCGTGTGCAGTAAGAAATGCCAATGAGCATCCACTTCAAGTTGAGGGTGAATATCCCAATCCACCTGTTTTAGATAGTTGTGTAAAGCTAACACATTCAACCGTTTGAAATTCCAGCGCCTGTTGTTAGTGGGACATCCGTTTTGCTGACAAAACCGAATGATAGGACGGCGTGATCACTTTTCCCCAGGGGAGCCAGTATTGAGAGGTCGTCAACTAGGAATTCTTCATTTGTGAATACCCAGTCTAAGCACGACGGCGTCTGACTATCTCTCCAACGAGTTGCCGACTTCACATTTTCGAATAATCCCAGATCACCGATGAGGTTGAAGAACAGAGCTTCAGTAGAGTTGGCACCTCCAATGTAGGTATGTTTCGCGAACTTGATTCTAGGATGATTGAAGTCCCTTAGAATCAGGATATAAGAGAATCCAAGCTGCGTAGAGCGGGTTAATCCTTCCAGCAAACGATTATCATACTCGATGTCGGCAGTGAGCTTCCTGTAGATGACCGCAACTAAACATCTCGAGGTGGCAGATATTATGACTGAGCACCACACTGATTCACCAACATTGAGAAACTCTTGGTTGTGAAGTTGGTGCGCCTTCAGGCATGACCGTATGTATAATGCTACCCCACCCCCATTTCCAGTTTTCCTGTCGTTGCGACATAAAGACATTCAGGTATTGCTAACTCCTGGTCCGTAAACTGAGACGATATTCACGTTACGGATATTTCTATCAGATGAGCGTCACTAGCGTTGCTAAGTTCACGTAGCTTATCCATTTCGTTTGGCAAACTCGCCGCGTTAGTGTATAAGCAGTTTATGCTTTCAATTTGGAACGTATGAGCTTCTTCCTGTGTGTCTATATGAGCCTTACTTGAATGGACCGGTAGCCTACCTATACAATGTTTACCAAGTTGGTAGTCCCTGTCCTTTACACGTTTTTTATGATCAAGACAGTCCCCAAGTGTAAACATCAGCCCCAGCTTGCGTTTGTGCTTGATCCTGCTATCGTGTGGCCTATCCGGATGCATATGGATGCCAGTTGGCAACCGACGTCTGTTGGCACGCAATGCTTCCAAAGTTTTAGCCGCCATATGGGAGGAGGGAAAGATTATCTTCAATAGCCTGGGTCTAGAGTCTCCGTCTTTCTTGGCTAGTCGCATCACCTGTTGAGTCAGCACGTTTTTGAGTTTCAAGGAATGCTTAGTTAATTTTCATTCCCGAATATCAGGGTTTGCTTGAGATGGATCCGTATTTTCCAGTACATCTTGCACAACGGTATTTCTTCCCCGGAAAAACGCCTCGCGAGATTCCTTAGGGATGTTCCGGATGAGATTTCGTTCACAATGCGGTAATGCCGGGCAGTATTCTTACGTTCCCATCGTATTTCTGTAAGTGACTCGCTAGCAGGACGTCCTCTACGTCAGAAGCATTCTTAAGTGTGGTATGAAGCAGCCTCGGTTGGTTTCGGTGGTAAGAGTCCTTCCCCCAAGTAAGCCGTGTGACCGTTAAAGGCTCTATTCTAGGGAGTTCAAGCCTCTTGTTCAATTCTCCCCAGAGCATCCTATCATTTTTGTCCTGCATACTGAGAGGAAGGTCAGGGTGGTCAATAAGGTTCACGATTATGATAGAGTCGTCAAAAACCGTAATTGATTTCCCAGGTTTTCCAGGTCGTCTAGGTCCCGTACCTTGTTGTTTGGATGTCGAAGCGCGTTTTCGATTCCTAGGCTCGGTGATGACCGTACGGACAGTCTTGAGGGTAGATTGTGCCGTCAAGTCACCAATTGATTTCCGCACAGTACTTGGGATATTCAGCTTCGGCGGTGACACTTGATCCTTTTTACTCCTGTTAACGTGGGCCCAACCCCCTATAGGGTTTTTAAGAACCACTGTTTCATTCAAGGACTCTTCCCCAAGGGACCCAAATTTACTGAGGAAGTCGATCACCGTCGATGTTAAGATGGTGCTGAGTTTCACCACGTCATCACTCGTGCTTTTTCCTGTATAGAATCCAAACTACGTTTGGGTGAAGAATAACTGCCGTGAATAAGTAAGAGACGTGTGTCACCCAATCGAAATCAGAACAAGGTGATTGGGGTAGCAACGGCTCTATATTTCATCACAAATACAAATGTACAATTTTACCTAAACATATATTACCACTCAGTTATTGAACCAATAATTGTTCTCACAATAATCGATCTAAATTACAATAAATAGTAAATTGACAAGAAATATAAGAAAATTACCGAACGATCCGAAAAGTATTATTCTATCCTTTCCGTATAGATCAAGTAAAAATCCGCTGAATAGTTTTCTTTATAACACAAATTGTTTCGAATTCAGAGAAAGTGCTGCAAAATACAACTAAAATGCACGATCTCAGTTAAATATGGCAACATAACCAAAGAGGGAGCAATCAATATGGCAGCCGCCAGGATGAAATATCAATTAAAACAACAAACATACAGTTCAAGAAGAAAGATAGAAACTGTGTGAGAGCGAAAGAGAAATGCTGAAACTGTTATGAAATGAAACATTACAATCTCAAATCGATACAAAGAAGATTAAAAATAATGTACAAATAAAGAAATTATTAAGAAGTTGCAAATGTATACATGGAGGGATTTTCACACACAAAACCTTCAAAATAGATTTTTCAAACTGCACTGTCGATAGTCGGCTTGTCGATATCCCTTTTCTTGGTCTCCATGTGCGTTCCTGTTTTGCTACCCGTCATGATACTGTCATTTACCAAGTTTTTAGACAACTTGTTCCTCGGACCTATTAGTAGGGTAATGATGGTACCCAGCATCACTACAGTATCAGTGTTGCACGTAACACATACCCACCTACGATCAGACTCGCTGAGTCTGCTATAGACTGTTGATGTTATATCTGTGCACGCTTCGTGGAACTAACCTTCGCAGTTGTCACATTGCATGCCATATATAACAGCGAGACGGCAACCAGGTCTTTTGTATAAATTTCTCATGGCTAAGGATATAGACTGTTTTATTAATACAAACAGTAAGTCTAGGACCGTTGAAAGAAACACTGTACAGAAAAACTGGCAAAAGTGGATAAAAGCGATTTACGATAAGCTGAAAACTAACCTTTATGTGAAAACTAAAAAGACGATAGTGAGCTGAGCAAAACCACAGTTAACTATTAAGTTGATTGAAACTCAAAAAAAGGCAATCTGCCGAACGTATAGCTCAGAACAGATTCTTTAGATCGGAAGTGGTACTTTTGTTGCGTAAGAACACAGCAAAACTTTGAGAAATGCAAATCACGTTGAAGATACGACCGGTATTGTAGTTTTGCAACTAGCAACCAGTAACACCTATATTCGAAGCGTCTCCAAACAGTTAAAATCAGAAGTCAGATGAGAAGAGATCGCAAAGATATATTTGATGTGTTATCAATATATTGAAAAGCGTTTACTCTCATCTGGTTAGTGAACGTATGAGCTGTTTCCCACGCTGAGTCGTAGCGTGATCTGGTACGGATGCATGACCGGAAGCCTTCAGTTAAACACGTTCACTTAAAACAATGTGGTCAGCATCCAATGTTGAACACTTAATGAGCTATCGATTTTGAGGAATTATTTAGAAAGTTATTGATTTTGGGGCATTATTTACAGCTACATCGTTAGGACTAAGCTTCCCGTTCGAAAAGCGCGCGTAAATTGTTTTTGAGTCCACTACAAAGCTGTTGGATATTTGACCCATACAAGAAATGATCAGGTAAGCACGGAAGCCGCCTGAATTAGAAGCAACACAGTCTTTTGGCTTTCCATCCTTAAAGCGCAAATCTAAATGCATTATCGAACCCAGATGCCACAAAAAGAGCGCGCAGGATGATCAGGTACTGTGTAAGTGGTTTGCGCTCCAATTATTTATATCTTAGTGTGTTTTTGCGGCAGGATTCTACTGCGGAGTTTTGTTTCAAAATCAAAACGAAGTAGGTCTTTTGAGAGCCTCATCATATTGGTCTAGATTAAAAATGTAGTCACGCCAGTGGAACTTGGCGAACGTCTCCTAACAACAGTTAAAGGATTATTAGAACAGAAGAATAAACCCAAATAACTGTATATCTATCATATCGCAAATTTTCTGTGTCAACAACAGCACAAAGTTATGAATCTTATCATCACGTTTTTCAGTGTTTTACACTTTTTGCTTCCCCCATGTTACACATTCATTTTACCCAAGAGTATTAGAAATATTTCTTCGCAAAATGCATTTTTTATTTCTGACTGGCTCGTTAAAACTAATAAATTGCATGTAGCATCCAGTCCTTTAGTAGAGGATATCGATTTAGATGGAAATCTTGATGTTTACTTTTCTACAGTAAATGGTGTGCTTTACGGCATTTCGAACGTTCTTAAATGTGTTACAGGAAATCCATGCAGTATTCTCTATGAGAATTGGCCCGTAACTCACCATGGCGAAATCTTCTTCTCGACTCCACTTGCGGTAAGAAAACAGAATATTGCTAATTGATTGTAGCGGTTTTGAAATTCTGTTACTTCTTTAGTCCGTAGCTACATAACAGTGGTAGGCATTTAGCTTTCTATTTTTGTTTAGTAAAAATATCTATCATCCCCAGCCAACACACTTCATACTAGCTACGTAGCGAGCATGTGTTAAGATCTGTCACAGTGTTTGTGGTCAGTTGTATGATGTTAACGTTGTATCACCAAGATAAGTGATTTATAGGGTCCATGCTAGTCGGTTGATATAACATTTTATGCACAACTAGGTGGATAAATTTTGAGCTGATAAGAACCAGTGGGGCTGACGTGACTTTTCAAGTTGCTCACTAATAGGTAAGTGTCAACAGCTTCCGAATGGGAATTCGGAATATCTAACGACTAGAAACTCTTCCTTTGCTGGTAGGTCAACCACATTAGAAACTGCGTCCAGTGTCATGCCAATCTTGAACTGTTGTGCAGTAGGTATAGCAATATCAATCAACTGCTTTCTTTTCTGTTGAGGATACAACATCTCACTCAATCACTTGCAGTCACAGTACTTATGGGTGTTTTACATGTACCACGTGAATACGTTTGCTAGAATGGTTAAACAAAGTCAATCGGTAACAGCGTAAAACTTGGTATTTATGTACATTGGTTTAAAGAGAAAGTTCGAATTTCAAGTATTCCTGAGGTTGATTAATCTTTTCAGGCCATTGTCTTGTATTCATACTCGATCCACTTTTTCATATCCTTTGGTTACCCGTTTCTGTACCGTCGCAACGCTGAATTCCAGTAAGTGACCAAATGTATGAATTCCAGTAAATACATCACTGAGTATGAATTTTTCTCTGCGTTGTATGAACTCGTAAAACTTGTATTAGTTAGTACACCAGTCTTCTCATGCTTTACGAAATCCGGTCTTCATCATGGTATTTACTGACGATAAAGGATTTGGCAGCTACTCGTAAGCTTAGTTTAGACTTAGCGACACGTATTCTGTGATAATATATAGTCATTAAGATGCTGACAATTTATCTACTGGTTGAATGTCAGGTTCTTAAATTAGTAGTTTCTTAAACCAATATCTGTGCCTTCGACAAAATTGAGACTTCGAAGTATTACTCTTTGATCAATGACCACACAAACGGGTTGTGTAGAACCACTTTGGAGCACATCTGAAAAAACGTTTGGTTTGACAGTAAGAATTGAGGTATCTGAGCGGTAAATTGCATTAGATATTATTGATTTCCCAATAATAAACTCTTCACGCATACCAAAGAACCATTGTTTTTGTGGATCTACACCCCAGACCTTATTCTTGTGTCTTTCCTCTCCATGTTTTTGTGAATCAATTAGTCTTTTTTTTACCTAACTGCCTTTGATGCAGTACATGTGGATGTCATGAATTTTTAACAGTCAATTTCTTCAAAACATAGGTTTTGATTATGATATTAGAAAAGAGATGTTGATCAGAAAGAAAGATATGAAGCCTTACCCACTACAGTAGCTTAAACATGCGTTACAAGCACCTATCTGCTGTCAACTCACCAATTTATCTAGGCAGCCAGGTTTGGGAATAGTTTCTTTTACAGAAATCAAAGCCATAGATAAGGTAAGGAATAGTGTTAGCATTCGGCTGCGTTATCAAAGTATGTAGAGCGGAGTTTGGACTTATCGTGAATGTGCGATCTTCGAATATAACTCACGGGAGAGGAAATCAATATCAATTAAGATGAATTCCTGTTACACCGAATTGTTCAGTGTAAGTTCTGCTCATGGACTTCTAGTACGTTCTTACTATGATTTATGTTAGTGAAAAATACTTAGTTCATAGATTTTATTCACTGCAGTCGATCTAATTTGAATTAGACTGGAGTCGTCGTCAACAAAGTTTCTATTATTAAATGAGTTTTTACTCTGAATATTGATTCAGAGGAGAGGATAAAAGAAGTCTCATTTACTGTACTCAAGTGTGAGTTACCAGATATTTATGTAGCGCACGACCGCGTCAGGACGTATAGCCCAGTGGTTGGAACTTGGGTGCTTTAATGACCAAGCTATCGCTTTACCGTTATGCTATATAGGGCATAAGTTGAGTAGATGAACTCACAGAGTAATCAAATGACAACACCAGCGTCCCTAACTGCCATTTTGAATTATATCAGAAGGCTCTAAGTTAAAAATCTGTAGTAGTGGCTCCAACTTATTTTTTTATGTCGCCTGACCTGTCATGATTGTGCGTCTCCCTTCCCCCAATTGTCTTCATCCCCATTCTTATCTTATGCAATATTACTGTTCTTTGTCCCTTATATTTTCTCATGGGGTTTCCCCTCTGTTCCTATGCAAAGTGTGGTAGCTTAAATTGAAACAGTGATGATTGTCTTTTTTTCGGAAGAAAAATATCTCAACTATTACATTAACTTTAAGGAGGGATTTTTCGTCTACAAATACTCTTTGCTGTTTTAAAATTAGTTGTTCCTCGAAATCTAAGCACCACTGACTGACAAGCTGAGGTTCGCAACAAGATCTTGCAGTCAGATTTAGAAGACACTACGATAGATCCACTCTGAAAGAAGTATTTCCCTACTTGGATCTCACTAAGGGTTCGGTTTTCGCTAAAGTGCTAAAAAATAATCGCGATAGAAATTTCGTCCATCCTAATTCTATTTGGAACCAGTTACATACCGAAAAGCTGTTGAAACTCCGTGCCTGTTGTCGGTCCACAGATTTGAATATATTAATACAAAATACTTGCATCAATTGCTTCCTATAGTTTTTCCGCATATAATATCTATATTTTCAAGTTTGTAAAGTTATTAAATGAATGATACTAAAAAAGTAAATACCTTCCCATGTACTCATCTTTGCTATTAGTTGACTGTCCAAGGGTTCATACCTGTTACTCAATGGTTAACTACTTAACTGCCACTTCTAATTATATATATATAATCAAGTAGTTATTCCCAGACCTGTCAAAAGTGCACTCTAGTAATCACAAACAGACCACCTTTTGAAGACATGAATGGACCGTGAACTTATTGTATTATTGTATTGAACGTATTATTGTATTGAACTACATATAAATAAAACCCGTAATTATGTACAGAGCATTTTTCATTTGATACAAATATCCCATAGATTCTTAGTTATTCAACTAAAGTAGTATAGTTAACTGCAAACAAGATAACTGGATGTACATGGTTACGTGAAGGCTTACTGTATCTTCTCAATGTAAAAAGATTTTAACCTATGGTTATATCCTCCATCAAGTATGCTCACAAAGTGATGCGAAAAATTTCTTTTTGTTTTTAAAATTATTTTTTAATGAAGGTGGATGTTTATGCTGAGGGTTTGAAGTCAGTACTTTTTATTAGCCACCATGCAGCAGTGTTTACTTACGATTATCTTGGGAATTTATTGTCACATTTTCAAGTAAGTCCTCTTTTTCTTCTGAATGAATTAGATAAAATAGTTTGTCTATGTTTAGTTATTATGCCCGACTATAGCTGCTACCTTGGCGTAAGGGTCGGCTTGTCTATCGTAGTGGTCTGGTTGAGCTATATCTTCTGGAACAGTTGTTCCTTTAGATCCTATCTTGTTAGCCAGGTAAGTCAGTTGGGGTACAGTAAGATTAAAAGCAGCAAACTCATGATTCGAGGGCTAAGTCGTACTGTTAAGTGTACCAAAGTGTGATGGCCATGATGTTTTTCTATTAGACAACCAGGATCCGGAACAATTCTGTTTTCTTACAATGGAAGGAAGGGGCTGGAACAGGCAGGCCCTCAAGATCTCACACCTCGCCTTCCATTTTCGGTTTGAGGTATTTTGAAGCATGAAGCTAATATAGTATGAACTTCTGTCAGAATGCTGGTATGTGACCAGACTCAAGCATTTGTCCCTTAAGGCGTGTGACCGTGCTTCCAGAACAGTATGAATACTACTAATCTAGCCTCTCAAGTAGAAACATCCTTTCACAGTTTCAGGCAACCATAAAGTAATAACTGCTCTCATACCTCTTATAGCACTAGAGATCCTCCTGCTCATGATCAAATCCTTTCATCACTTCTCAGTATTCCTCATATTCCCATCACCAATCCCTATCCTGTGACTTTCTCGAACACTATTGTTCGAGTCAGAAGTCACAGCAAACTGTCATCTGAATCGATAAGTAATTACCCTCAGGACTGTCTTCTCAGATTTTATTTAACTTTGTCATGGACATGCTTTATGAGATAATACTCGTCGTCTGAGCTTTTAAGAATTGGTCTATCAGGAGATTCAATTGCTGACTTGCAATACATAGATGATATAGTTCTGTTTGAAGAAGACGCCGACGAAATGCAGAATTTTCTGACCACTTCAAGCAAAATGCCAAGTATTTTTGGGATGCGTTTTTTCATCCTCGAGATGCGAAATACTGTTTCAGCACTGATCTGTGTCAACGCCTGAACTGATGATAGGGCGTGAAGTAGTTGAGTATGTCGATCAATTCACTAATCTCGTAAATCTCATTAGCCCTGGTGGATTGATTTCTGACAAAATATTGGCACGGATTCAGAAAGCCCAGTTAGTTTCCACTAACTTGCGTCACTTGTGGCGTAGGTGATATATCTGTCTGCCGACTGAGGTATGAGATTATTGTGTGGCAGTTCGCTTTGTCCTGCTTTATGACTGTAAAGTGTGACCATTGAGAATGGGGAATATTTGTAGGTTACTGATGTCCGACCATACATGTCTTCGAAGCATTCTCGTGTATTAGCATTAGTAATCCCGTAAGTTTTGCTGAGAAACATTGTAAACTCATGTAAATAATAATAATACCACTAAAAAAGGATAATACTAATTAGTATGGGGTTAAGCGTTCGCGCGCGAGACAGAAGGTTCTGGGTCTGAGCCCCGCGTACGTGATCGTGGATGTGCACTGTTGAAGAGTCTTATAACAGGAAGAAACAACCGTCCACTGCTCCCAGGTTTTCAATGATGGTCTAGTTTAGATCGACTTGTGAATTCAACTGTCAAGATAATACTAATGTTGTAGATTGTGAATTATTTGAAAGTGTTAATCATTCTTAAGACTTATAGAACTGTAAAGGTACCTGAGATATTTTAGTAAGTAGTCCAGTTGAAATCTATGTATCTTATAGTTACCTTTATCTTGTAAACGTGATTGAATTCGGTATGATCGAATTTCCTAAGCTACTCATGTCATTTAGTAGCATGTACTATTCATCTTTGATTCTGACACTGTAGCATTATGATCGACATCACGTAGATCAGGCGTAAGGATTTAAAAGTCCTAGTTTTCAAATAAGAGTTCTCAAATTAGTTGAAGTTTCATAGTCCACTTTCACCAAGTTGTTTTCCGCATTCTATCATTTAAAATATTCACATATTTGTTTTAATTTTGGTCGACGAATAAATCTCTCGTTCTTCAATATTAGTAAATCTGTTTTCTTTCGTCTAGATTCCAGATATCATTCTAGATCGAAGTACTTTATCTCAAAGAGATCTTGATAAGAATTCATTTAAATCTATACGTTGGGCATCTACTGACAATCAATTACCAACACATAGTGAAAGGGTTTGTTTTTTATTAATAAATTTATCAAATAGACCATTAAACTTATTTACTCCATTCCATTTGAATAAAATGTATTGTAGTGGCCATGCTTCTAATTTTTACTGGTTTTGTATCGTGATTACGTAGGGCGATTAATGTTAAAGACAAATAAGGTTAACTACTAGTGATGATCACCTACACAATGTCTTCTACCTTTACAGAGCATATTTCACAGATTTAAACTGATAAAGATCAAACTGATGTACAAGGTATATTTGCTTCTTGATGTACAAATAGACATCCTGTCTGTACTACAGGTTTTGTAAGTTGGAAAAAGCCACCATAACGTTTTGTATCAACGTTGAAATTTTGTCAGCCACTAACTACTCTTCCATAAGTGCCCTGGCAAACTTGGCCAACTATTTTATTTCAGAAGGGGTTTTTGTGGATATTATAGTAATTTTAGTAGTTTAGATCATGAGTCAAATGAATCTGGACCACCATTAAAAACCTGGAAGCGCTGGACGACCGTTTCGTCCTACTGTGGGACTCCTCGGCAGTGCTCATCCAAGATCCCGCTTCGTGAAATTCGAATCAGACCAGGCATTTTAAACACCAAAGTAGCAGCGCCTGTGTGCATGTTGTATTGAGGCAACTTAGTTTATTTCTTTTCGACAGTTCTACTTGGTTTTCCTTCAACCAGGTTTATTACTTCGTTACGTCATTTTATTAATAATAACGTCTACTTACTTACTTACTTACTAACGCCTGTTACTCCCAATGGAGCATAGGCCGCCGACCAGCTTTCTCCAACCCACTCTGTCCTGGGCCTTCTTTTCTAGTTCTATCCAGTTCTTGTTCATTTTTCTCATGTCTATCTCTATTTCTCGGCGTAATGTGTTCTTTGGTCTTCCTCTTCTCCTTTGACCTTCAAGATTCCATGTGAGGGCTTGTCTTGTGACGCAATCAGATGATTTCCTCAAGGTGTGCCCAATCCACTTCCAGCGTTTCTTCCTGATTTCTTCCTCTGCTGAAATCTGGTTTGTTGTCTCCCACAGTAACTTGTTGCTGATAGTGTGTGGCCGGCGGATCCGAAGTATCTTGCGTAGACAGCTGTTAATAAACACTTGTATCTTCTGGATAATGGCTTTCGTAGTTCTCCACGTCTCCACCCCATACAGTAGAACGGTCTTAACATTTGTATTGAAAATTCTAACCTTGGTGTTGGTTGACAATTGTTTTGAGCTCCAGATGTTTTTCAGTTGTAAGTATACTGCTCTTGCTTTGCCGATCCGCGCCCTCACATCTGCATCAGATCCACTGTGTTCATCAATGATACCGCCGAGATATGTAAAGTTTTCCATATCCTCCAAAGCTTCTCCGTCAAGTGTAATTTGATTGGTGCATATTGTATTGTATCGAAGAGTCTTGCTTTTCTCTTTGTTTATATTGAGACCTACTGCTGCTGAGGCTGCTGCTACACTGGTCATTTTCTCCTGCATTTGTTGTTGCGTTTGTGATAGAAGAGCCAGATCATCCGCGAAGTCTAAATCGTCAAGCTGCATCCTGCCTGTCCACTGTATCCCGTGATTTCCTCCAGATGTTGACGTCTTCATGATCCAGTCGATGACCAGGAGAAAGAGAAAGGGTGAGAGTAAGCAACCTTGCCTAACACCGGTCTTTACCTCGAATGAGTCGGTGAGTTGTCCTCCATGCACGATTTGGCAGTTTAGTCCATCATAGGAGTTCCGTATGATATTGACTAACTTCTCAGGCACGCCGTAGTGTCGAAGTAGCCTCCATAGTGTCGTCCTGTCCACGCTATCAAATGCTTTCTCGTAGTCGATGAAGTTGATGTTGAGTGATGAGTTCCATTCGATTGATTGTTCCACAATGATCCGCAGAGTTGCGATTTGATCTGTGCACGATCTATCCTTACGAAATCCAGCTTGTTGATCTCGAAGTTGGGCATCTATGGAATCCTTCATCTTGTTTAACAATACTCTGTTGAAGACTTTTCCTGGTATTGAGAGAAGAGTGATGCCCCTGTAGTTGTCGCACTTGCTCAGATCGCCTTTCTTTGGTATCTTGATCAGAAGTCCTTTTTTCCAGTCTATTGGTACTTGTTCTTCGTCCCAAATCTTACTGAAGAGGATGTGGAGTATCTTGGCAGTTGCTGTTACATTTGCTTTCAGTGCCTCTGCCGGGATGTTGTCTGGTCCCGCTGCTTTGCCACTCTTGACTTGTCTAATGGCCATGCTGATCTCTTCAATTGTTGGTGGGCCAATATCGATTGGGAGGTCCGTGGGTGCTGCTTCGATGTTGGGTGGGTTCAGTGGAGCTGGTCGATTCAAGAGTTCTTTGAAGTGTTCTACCCACCTGTTTCGTTGTTCTTCAATGTCGGTGATTACTTTGCCTTCCTTGCTTTTCACTGGTCTTTCTGGTTTACGGTGATTTCCAGCAAGTTTCTTTGTTGTATCATACAATTGTCTCATGTTTCCTTCTCTTGCAGCCTTTTCCGCTGTCGTTGCTAAATCTTCAACATATTTACGTTTGTCGGTTCTGATGCTCCTCTTCACTTGCTTGTTTGCCTCTGTGTATTCGGCTTGTGCCTTGGCTTTTTCCGCTCTGGTTCGGCTGATATTGATTGCTGCCTTCTTGTTCCTCCTTTCTTCAATTTTATCCAGTGTACCAACAGTGATCCATTCCTTGTGATGGTGCTTCTTTTGGACCAGAACCTCTTGACATGTTGAAACGATTGCCTCCTTGATACCTTTCCAGTTGCTCTCCATTGTAGTTCCCTCTCCATTGAGTAGATCATGAAAGGCCTTGAACCTGTTGCTGAGGGTTATGTTGAATTTGTTGAGTTTGTCAGCATCTCGAAGAAAGGCCGTATTAAACTTTTGTGATGTTGTCCGCGCCGTTGTCCAGTGCTTCTTGAGTTTTAGTTTGATCTTGGCGACCAGCAAATGATGATCGGATGCTATATCAGCTCCTCTCCTGGTTCTTACATCCTCCATCGTCCTCCTGAACTTTTTGTTGATGCAGATATGGTCGATTTGATTCTGTGTAGTGTGATCCGGTGAAATCCAAGTGGCTTTGTGTATGTTTTTGTGTGGGAATATGGTGCCACCTATGGCCAGTTTATTGAAGGCACATAGGTTTGCAAATCTCTCACCATTTTCGTTCCTTTCTCCCAGTCCATGTTGTCCCATGACGTCTTCGTATCCAGTGTTGTCCTTTCCAACCTTGGCATTGAAATCTCCCATCAAAATGATCAGATCCTTGGTTGGGCACTTCTCGAAGATTGACTGCAATCTGTCGTAGAATTGGTCTTTAGCGTCTTCATCGTAGTCGTTGGTAGGCGCATAGCATTGGATGACGTTCATTGTAATGCCCTCCCTCTTTGTTTTGAAGGAGGCTTTGATGATCCTTGGTCCATGAGATTCCCATCCTATAAGTGCATTTTGTGCTTTTCTGGACAGCATCAATGCAACTCCTTGTGTATGTGGGGCATTTTCTTCTTCATGACCGGAGTATAACAGAAGTTCTCCTGAAGACAGTCGTTGTTGTCCAACCTGCGTCCAATGTGTTTCGCTGATTCCAAGAACCTCCAGGTTGTATTTTCTCATTTCCGCAGCAATTTGGAAGACTCTTCCGGTCTCCCACATTGTTCGGACATTCCATGATTACATTTGTTCGATAATTTACGCGATATCCTTTAGGTTTTTGAAAATTCTAGCTGTTTTTTTGACATAAAGGCTTTAAAATTGCATTTTTATTTATAAGACTTTATTTATCTATGTATTTTCTTATGTATCTTTAGGATATTCGTTTACATCCCATAGTTTATACAGATCCAATTATTTTAACTTCAGCGATTAGTCGATCCAATGTGAATGACATAAATTTCTTGTACACTGATCTTTTACATATTGCATTAAATTTTGTTAGCTATCATTCACATAGCACAACAGCGTCGTTGAATGAGTCATCTTCTACAAATGAAGGTTTACTGATAGCAGCAATTGTGAATATACCACGTTGCGCTTTATTTTATTTAAAGAACGAAGATTTCAAGTTCTGTTCACCACGTCTTAAAGTATTAGAAGTTGACTGGGTAAGTTATTATTGAACAGAATGGATTTTAATTTTTTTCGGTCATTATCATAATTTGTCAAATAAGCATCTCTGGTATATATATATATCGTAATGAGAACGAGTGAACATTGAGAATATAGTTCAAAAGACAAGATGTTAAGGTGAGGATAAATAAATACTGGAAATTAAGATCAAGGGTAAAATAAGGAGTGAATACTTTTGCTCGACTGTGACCAAATTTTGAACCAGGTCTCCAGTTATTGATGTTACTCCATAGCTGCGACCCGATAGTCGAGATATATCAACGCGACTAAGTGTAACCGTTAATTTCTTTGTAGACTGTTTCCATGTCTTGATCTTGTTACTCCTTGTTACAACTTATAAACCAGCAAACGCCATCCATCAATTCGGGCGGTGGATAAGTATACATAGCACATGTCCTGATCACTTCTGTCGATGAAGATTTACAACCCAATCAATCGATTTTTCACCTTTACACAGTGCCCTATTGTGTCAGATATTTCATTTGTTTCTTAAAGATTTTATATATTTAATTAACAATTGTGTGATTCTGTTCACTTTCTTCTATTTGCTTTCTTTCTAATTATGTTCTAGTTATCTGTTAAATTACCACCGTATATTTTCTCATCGCCTACTATAAATGCCAATGTCTTAGGAGAGACTCGGGTCAAAGATCGTTCATACATTGATAGTTATTATAGTTTTATTACTACATTCAGTGGAAATATACATGTGGCTCAATTAACAATGTTAAATAGTCATGTTAGTCAACCTTCGTTAGAGGTCAATAACATTTTTATAGATTCTTATTCTTTCCATATCACTCCAATGACCTTATCAGTAAGTCTTGTACATGTGTTTTCTATTTAATTGCTGTGAATGTGTTTAAAATAAATTCGGTGAGTGATGGAGGATATCGTTGTTAATATTTGTCACATTAAAAACTAAATGATACAATGAAATAATTGTAAGAACCAAAACTCTGAAGATTCCAATAGTTCTATATGACTGCTGGTTCCCTCGGTCGCTCACACTTTTGCTCAAATTTTATTTGTCCTCACACCTAGGACTGGGGCTGCTAACTCAGATTTTGGTATAGTAATTTCCTTGATGGATGATACTTTGTACTTACCATAGATAAATTAGGAATGTGGAGGTTGCTGTTGGAAGCTTATCCGTGCGCAAACACAACCACATCTTAGCCCACTCTTGACACATCACTGAACAGATATAATTCTACATTTTTTCATCTTCAGTACTTTTTTACGATATCTCTCACTACCGCAAGTTAGTTTAAGAGTTGTATAAACCCAACACACTCTTGCCTTATGGATGGGTCCAAACTGCTAGGCGGTTGACCCCACTCCAGCTGTACCTCGCATATTTTTTGTAAGATATGTTTAAAGGCGGATAGGATGAAGCAATAAAATCCAGTGGATCAAACATAAAATATCAGACAAGATTCTGCGTTTGGTTTACTGGTTTATCAATCCTATCAAAAAAGCTTAAAAATGTCCTGTCCCAGTAGGTGAGCATTTCCGAGTCCCCTACTGGGATGAAACACCTATTCAGTGCTTCCTGATTTTCAGTGGTAGTCCAACTAAGATCAGTGCAATGTTAGTTCTAAAAATATGTTTAGCAGTTGTACTATTATTTTCGAATTCTGGAGATAGTGTAAGCTATTTTTTAGAAGTATCATTATACTTTCTCTATTACATCCATCTGTGTGGATACGGCTAAAATGTTGTTACATAACAGTAAAAAATATTAGTAGCTTATGATCAGAATATCAGTGTTCTAGTCTCAGCCTACTAGATGAGAAACATATAAGATTATTTCACTTAGAAACCTTAACAATGTTTACAATAAAAGGGTACCTATTATCAAGGTAGAGATAGTCGGACGCAGAAGATTGGTAATAATAATTAGTTCTTATGCAAAATAAACATCCTAGAGCATCAAACCTTTTTACATCTAATGTAAATAGTTATGTTCACTTTAAAAAATCAACGCGTAACTAAGACTTATTATCTTGTGTAATGATATATATATATATATATATATATATATATATATTGTATAGCTATACTAAATTATACAGTTGTATGATGTTCCTTAATTTTCACAGTGTGTACCATCTCCGTGTCCATTAAATAAAATGAAATTGAACAAATTACAGTCTAGTGTACTTACTTGTTGTCTACAAGTGGATATTTATTCTTGTTTACGTCTTGTTCTTCTTGTATCAATTAAAAAATATCATTCTCAAATTTATTGGACATATTGCCCCGCTATTTCTAATACTACAATGACTACATTGGAGTATGGAGAACAAACTGGTCAAGTGATAATTGTTCCTGGATGTCAAAAATTACAAACTTGTTCACCATGGTCTGTTTACACAACACCTGATGGGTAAGTGTTTTTATCATCTTTGATAATATTTACGGTAATGTCCATCTTTTATTCTTGAATTTAAAGTCTTCATTTCATTTTGTCGTTTAAACTACAAAAAATCAAATGGAAACAAGAATTCATTTTAACTATATCTCATTGTGTAAACTTCTGATTTGAAGCTCACCATATTAATAGAAGTTTATTTACCTTCGATGACCTGATATCAAAGTAGTCAAATTATATATGGTGCTCTAATCCATTCATACTTATCGTTTTTCGTCGTTATTTATCCTTTTTGAATGTTATGTATTTTCGCTCAGTGTAATTTCCTCTGCAGTTTATATTGTTCACTGGTTTGCTTTTTATCTTGTGAATTTCTTCATACTGTAGTGATTGATATGTTCTTATACAATCACATGCACTTATGCGCTTTCTACTATATATATAAAATCTACTACGACCAATGGTTAAAGATTTTGGATGGTGTGACTCGAAATCGTTCATAGTAGTGTATTAGATGCATTCACTCTTTTTTCCCTTACGTTACTAGTTTCACGATTGTTTTATAAGTTTTTCTCAAATTTTATTTCACTGATCCATATTTAATTCTCTGGTCGTATCTTCAATAAATTAGTCTATTCTATGACCATTAATACTTTTATTGCCTCTATTAATTTGGTATTTGTTCCGACAATTTCATTTCACTGTACTAATAAATTGTGGGAACCTAAATAGATACACACATGTTCCAGGTTCTACATTGTGTTTCGCTGGTTGACTGACTGAAATCCATTATGCAGAGGAGGTGACTAGGAGAAATAGTAATGTTTTAATAGTCGACCGGAACTATAATGTACCCAAGTCACAGGTATACATACGTTTACTCTGTTGTTCTAAACAAGTACACGTAAACTAAGACTTTGAGTCGGTGTATAATCGACCTCTAATACCGGTGCCTTGTTTATAATGTCTCACCTTTCATTTAACTTTGAGATGGCATATAAACAGGCATGTGCTATGCCTGTACTTATCCTGTATATCAGTGATTCGTTTAAACCTGATACATATCTGTGCTTTATTCTGTGTTATGCCTGACTGAATTTCATGTGCAATCTATATAGGTTTTGGAAGATTTTAGGATTTCTACTAGAATTACTAATCATTTAGGTTAAACTAATCAGGTAGTTGAATCAGGCTGTAATTGTGAACATTTTAAAAATCTTTAAACCCAATCAGTGCTTGTATGAATTGTATCATTTTGGTTAGTTTTAGAGATAAAAATTAGTTTGCTTGACGGTTTAAGTAGATTATAAGGAAATGTTAAGATCAGTGATATCAAATTTTTAATGACACTTCAACAGAAAAATCTTAAACTGTTTATGAGTAGAAAGTCAAATTGTATGCACAGAATGTCAGGGTAGGAAAAATGGATGCTTAGTCATTTCTGGTTGAACAATTACCTGTGGACAATTACCTGTGACATGTGTATCATTTCACTGTCAACTCCAGTTATAGAAGAATGAACCTCAGGTAAAAGTTGTTAAGAAATCAATCTGTACGCGAGAAAAGACATCATTACCTCATGTAGACAGGAAATAAAATCCTATGTAGAAACTTCAAAGGGTAGAGGGAAGGTGGAATTTCTTGCCATAGTGACCTGTGATCTGTCATTAGTAACTGAATACACATGTCCCCAGCTACTTTAATTATACAAGACTTTCTTGTATTATAAAATTCATTCTACTCACCGAACGCTTAGTAATTATTTTAATAAACTCTTGTTGTAGTTTAAACTGATTTTCGAATGAATCGTCGCATACTTAAGTGATGATGTATTATCCTGTGACCAACTGTTGTGATCGATTATCTAATTCTAGTGTGGTGTGGACTACTTATATAAACATAAGTAGTATATATCCTGAGTCAGGAGTAGAATATCTGGCAGCAGAAGATTGAGAAGATCGTGAAGGAAAGAATAGAAACAAAAAGCAATCGGTACGGAAATATAGAAACAATGAAGCCTGAGACAATTAATGAACACTTTGCAAATGAAGTATTAGAGTATGGTTTTTCTATTTTACCAAGTAGCTTTGTAATTTTGTGCTAGGTAAATAATCGGTTGTCCTCTCCCGTGTTCTCATTCGCTATACTAGTCATCCGAACAGATCATTTTTCTCCACTACAACAGGTACCATTACCACTGAAGTATTCAAATGGTGATTGATACCAACTTTACGATAGTGTAGTGTACAGAACGCTAGTTGGGGACAATCGAATGTATTTAAGCAAAGATTACAGACTATCTCAGTAAATTCTGAAAACCATACAATGTACAGTCAATTTGCAAATTAACAACCAATAGTCTCGATCTTCACTGTTTCTTCTCCAATTCCATTGTTCGTGCATTTTCCTACCGATTGCGCTTCATTTCAGTTCTTTCGTCATCGGTCTTCTGCGAAAATACATTCTATGCCTGACCCACACCATATACTACTTATATGGATATAAGTAGATCACACCACAATAGTACTGACCATTTCATTTGGTCATTGTGTATTAAACAATGCCAAATTATCTGGTTTTCAGTGATATTTAGGTCGTATCGATTACGTTCACGATGCAGTCACTAAGCCGAATCACTCCATATTACGTTGCATTATCTTTGGTTCTGGCTAGCTGTTAATTTTTTTTATCGGAAGGTTTCACGACAGGATCTGTTTTGTATCACCTAAACCAGTAGTCACATTATATAAATGGAGTCGACAAAAGTCGTCATTGATTATTCCATAATGTGTCTTTCATACGTTTTTTTGTATTCTTTTTTCCGCAGTTATGTACATGCTGTTGACATTCAGACCGGATTATCGGCTCCAGGATATCCTGTTAGTTTGTTCACTATGTATCATAATGTTACAAATCTTTCTATAGGGTCTGGATTATTATATCAAAGAGAGGATTACACATACTGGTTGGTGAGTTTGACCTATACGTTATTGTGGATTTGATTCTAAAATATTTCGGTCGTAAATAGCTTAAGATAATTTCGCAGTACTAACGGTTTAGAGATTTTTAAAATATAAAATTGGATCTACGTAAACTACATTGATCATACGGCTAATACACTACAACACTTGTACGTTACTAATCCATGCGCTTGTAAGAAATAGAACAAGGAAAAACGAGACTTTCGGGGCAGCCCAAATATCCCTAACAGGAGTCAAAATTGTGATAGAACAATTTGGTTTATCTTACAATAAATATAACTTTGAGACAGAAAATTTAGCAAATTAAAAGCATAAGCAACCAATCAGAAGACAGTAAAAGCCAATAGGGGAATATGGATCACGAAACAGTTGTCTCAGACTTCCTTGAGATAATAATTTCAAGGCTTCCTTGCACAGAATACAAATGAATGAAGGAAGTGAAAAATAGATGAGGATTTCAAGAGAGTTTTCGCAGTCATTAGAAAGACGAATATATAATTGTACATCATAGTATATATATATATATATATATATATATATATATATATATATCGGTCCACACTCAGGACTGAATGCAGAATGCATAACCTATCACTATCTTTCTCTCGATTCTCTTATGTTATTGAGGACGATACAGGGAATATTAGATAATGAGATTTTTATATGAACTCCAAGACAGTAATATAAAATGATTTTTGAACCCTTTTTAACAGAATGCATAACCTATCACTATCTTTCTCTCGATTCTCTTATGTTATTGAGGACGATACAGGGAATATTAGATAATGAGATTTTTATATGAACTCCAAGACAGTAATATAAAATGATTTTTGAACCCTTTTTAACAATGACAATTTTTCAGTATTGTATTGTCACCATTGTTATTAGTAGTACAAATTTTTTAAAAACATAATCATTCTATCATTTTTTGTCTTATCAAGGTTTTTACTGATGTTTATACAAATTTGATTCATTTGCGATTACATAATCCTTTAGTGATAATATCACATAATCATAATAACATGTTCAATCATCAAACTAATTCATTGCAGACAATTTCATTATCTCCAAAACCTTTACCGTTACCAGCTGGAGTATCAACATCACCTTCATATCTCTTATTGTCAAGTCATGGTTTAATGTTATTGAGGAGTAGATCATTACCAATTGTTCAGTCTAGTTCACCATCATTACTGACTTATTCTAAGTATATTGGTAAGTTGATTGTAAATGAAAAAACACATGATTTACACGTTCACAGGCTTTTCTCTAGTATATTTCCCTAGTTAACGCAGCTGTGTTACATACGCCTGTTATCCCTCGTAGAGCATAGGGCATCGACCAGTGATCTCCACCGAACTCTGTCCTAGTCTCTCCTTTCCAGCTTTACTCCAAAGTTAGTTTATGTAAAAAAAACCTAGGGTATTTATAGCATTTTATGTGGGCTTTGGCTTATAGAAGGTTCTAAAACCTCACTAAACATAGAAGCAGGATAGGTAATCATCTAATCAGCAATGTGACACTCGACTCTTCACTTCCCAGATGTTTCTAAGATACTTTTATTCAATTCTGATTAGAAAAGCTGTTTCCCAGCGTTTCCAGGACCCCTCTGGACTTTTTTTCGAGGAATACTCTGGATATCTCCGACAGTACCGAATTGATTTCATCAATTTATTCTGTCTCACTCTCCGTCATCTGACTTAGTTATAATCAAAGTATCATTTTTTCTTAGTTTTATTAAAACGTCCCAATGTTGTTTGGATAAACAGATATTTAGTGATATATTTACTGTTTCTGTGCTTTTTGACAGCTATCGAGTATCGTGGTCTCAAACCTGTTTAGCACTTTCTGCAGTAGTAAGGTCAATTTGTGAAAATTATTTTAATTATGAGCATGAAATCAATCGACTAGGTACCTGACGTACAGTTTGTTAATCAGTAATACATACTTTGTAGAACTGTCCTGTTAGCTCTTTTTCTTAATGAAGTCTCACATAATACCCAATTCATAGACGACATATGATCTGTATTTATTTATGATGATTTTCTGTGATGAAACTTAGAAAATAAATAATCATATCTCATTTTATTTTAGACAATGTTGACAAGTCCGTTACTCAATTTGTGAGTCTAATGTCTTTTACTTCCCAATATTTTCTTTATGTAAAGACTTATTTTAATATTCGTAATAAATAAACTTGTTTCGGTTAGGTGTTATGATTTGTAGTATCGGTTGTTATGTTAAGCCCATATACTTTATTCTAGTTACTGGTCAAGCCAATTCTCCTATACATCATGAGTCATATTTTGATCTTGTTCAGTATTCGCTTACTAACCTTGACTACCTTTTTATATGAGCGTATATGTGTACCCTTCGTATTCTGTTCATCATATGTCTGTCATTCATTTTTGTCTGATTATAAATATTGAGTAATGCTTGCTCATAGCGAGTTGGCTTCCCAGCCATTTTCACTATGCATCATCTTTGCTTCGCTTGCTTACACTTGCTCATGTGCCCACAGCTTTCTGGTCTGCATCATTTATCAATATAAATGTAGTTGCCGCTTCCTTTTGCCTTCTGATTTTATACACCGTCAAGATTGGAATAATAACGGTTATCGAAGTGAACCATCGTGGAAGCACGACACTACAGATTCATGGCCCTATCAATTATCACGTGACAAAATCGTCAATCAGAACACCGACTTATATGATCTTGTCCCTGTGCTAAAGCAATGGTGCATTAACCAGCACGAGCAGCTTAGACTTAACTCTCAATCCTTATTGGATCTTCTCGCCTAGCCCCGACCGTTGAGTCCAGAACACAATCTCAGCCTCCACTGTATGAATTATATATTACAGACATACTCAGTTTATATACAAGCAAATCAAACAGCCTCACACCATAAAATGAAAAACAATAATTATACAAGATCAAGCCAGTGTCTGTGAGTGTGGGAGACTGTAACTAGTAGATTGGAAATAAATTTAGAATAGTAAACCTTATAACAATAGCCAAATAGTTAAATATAATCTTATAATAAGAGGAATACGAATATACCTATAATTTTGTTACTTAATAGTCATTCAATAAGTTTATATGCAATAATAATCCATAAGTAATCCCTAGCAGTTACTATCTGGATAGAACATTAAGTATTTACAATTTTGGAGAGACTTATGTTACCTGGTGGACTCGGTAAACCAATTAAATTCGATCAACACTAATGAACTAAACAAATATGATATTTGTCATTATTCAGTGATTAATTATTTATAAGTATTTCAGTCCTAAAGAATCTCATCTACTATCTGATTAACTCAGTGTCAACACTCCAGAATATAAAACAAAGTGACTCAGACTTGAGTCAACCAGGGAGCAATTAGCTTCCTTTAAAACTACTGATATGCCTGTAGTAAATGAAGACATGGTGGGGAGAACCAATTAATTATTTAGTGCAACATTACAGAGTGCATTCGTAAATTATGAAAACCATATACCAAATTCATCATTTGCATATCTTTCATCAGCCGTCCTTTACATACTCCATGATTCTTCTAATTCTATTATTACTTCAAATGCTCTTTGTTCCCCTTTCCTATTCTCTTCAATTCAACCTTCTTTTGACAGACATTCCAGTTCCTGTTACATACTACTTATGTCTGTCATCATAAGTAGCATGTACTACAAATATCACCTAGCATAATATTTATGTTCATAGTTTCTTGTAGACTATGTTTAATCATCTAATTAACTATTATTTGTTTATTTTTCCAAAATTTTTAGATCAACGTTCAGTTCGTTAATGATCATTTAGAACCAATTGATTCTATTATTCTTGATGATAATAAAAGAATTTTGAATTATGTAATCAGAGATTGTTCTTATCATTTAACATTATTTAATGAATCCATATTAGCAAAACGATTTCTAGTCAAGGTAAGTTTTTTTCTCCTTTCAAAAGGATGAATATGTGTACATGTTTTGTTTTGTTTATTTATCAGTCAAACAGTTATGAGCAACATAAAACCGGGGAATTGTGTTTACTTACTTTACTTACGCCTGTTACTCCCAATGGAGCATAGGCCGAATTGTGTTTACTAGCAGTAGTGATATCAATTACAGTATAAAAGACCAGAGATAGGCATAAAATATAAGACGATCAAATATTATGTAAAATCTGGACAAAATTATTACAATGAAATCAGTTTTTTACACAGTAATAATTATCTGTATACATAGTACTTGGTGGCCTTCAAATACCAACCAATTACCGTCCGATGTCACGTAACATGTCACTATGTCTAACCTTTAGTATTGCTTGCTCGATGGTTCTTGCATATACGAACGATGCTATCAATTTATATATAATAAAATATTAGTAACCTACTAATATTTAACTTTATTCGGAATATTTCACTGATATAAACAGCTAACTACTGTTCAGTATACTCATCGTTTATTTAACAAGTGAACAATGTACCTATTACATCCTTGATCTATCTACCCAATAATATACAGGAGAGAACTTTTCTCGACCTAGATTAAGGCCTTGACACAATAGACCGACTAATTCAACTTTGAGGTTAGAAATACGTGATCCCGAATTGTGTAGACTTATTTATTTATTTAAACACATAAATATTGGTACAAGCAAGCACCAGATAAATATGCGCCTCACAAATCTCATTCGATTTGTGTGAGGGCTGGGATACTGCCCAGGTGCCCAGACTGAAGCAGGTGGTTTTCCTAGGGGGCCACAGCCGGAGCCTTTGACCTGAATGTCTGATCCACAAGGCAGTGGAGCATCGTGAGGAGATGCAGTCCCATGGTAGCCGGTGATCAACGGTTGATTCGTACGCCATTTGTTCCTTCAGGATACTGGAGCCCATGTGCACCATTGGTTTGGAATCAGGGTTTTCCAACTCCCCTAGGTGGACCCTCCGTGTCCACCAACCCGGTTAAAGCGCCGGACATTCGCTTTTCGTCCTCTCACTTTCGTAAACAACACCCCCGCCACGAGAAGGCAGTGAGTAGGACTTCCCTGGCAGAGGCTATATATTCGCTGGCCATATGAGAGTATTTCGAGAGGGAGAGGTGACTCTCCCCACTCTCGGCCGTACCAGGGCATTTGGGGGCGAATTGTGTAGACAGACGGAAACGATTCTATCACCTGATTGATTGACAAGCGCAAGCGAGAGAAGACGAGTCAGCTGGAACATTACTTTGTCTATAGATGAATAGCACAACTACAACTCACAAACAGTCAGAAAAATACAATTATGTCCAAATTAGGCATTTGGGTAGATAAATAATGTACCAAAGATTACTTTTAAATTTAAAATAGCTTTGGAACGGGAAAGGATGTTGCAGTAAATCATACATCAAACGAAAGCTTATGATTTGTAAAGTAAACTATGGACAAAACTAAATGTTAATGTTTTACAAGCTTTAAACTAAGTAAAATAATGTCCCCAAAAATAGCTTCTGTTTTTTGTTTCTCTGTTCACATCAGTACGAGTAACAATGGTATATACATTAGTCTGTCATTATTTAACAAATAAGTTTTACCAGGTAGCAAACCTAGTATAACATATATTATCATTCTAACCTTTGATATTCATATCCATGTTTTTCTCTGAATTTTTCTTCACGCTTATTATTATTATTACCATTATTATTGGTATTATTACTATTATTATTATTCTTGTAAATACTACTTCTTCATTTAGTTGCTGACATCATTTGGTGTACCAATATCGGAATGGTCAAATGCATATATAACCACAAATATAACATGTCATCATCATTGTTATTGTTTCACTGGTTCATTATCTATTCAACATAGTTTACCATTAAGTTCATATCATAATGAATTATATCTATCGGTGATTGATTCAACCAATGGTTATTTCATTGTTAATTATCCAATATTAACAAGTTCTAAAATGATTTCTACACGTATTATTTTACAAATTGGATCATATCAAACACAGCTTATTGTTAGTTTGATTTATTTACCAGGAGTTTATTTATTGATTGGTTTAATTATTATTCATTCGGTTTCTATGTTAATAACAAAACAAAAAATCATTGTACATGGTAATAAAATGATGAAACAATCTATTTGAGTCTAACTTTTTTTGTTCTTTATTTTATTGAATATTTTTTAAGCAACCAAATATGAGACTACTGTTTATACGGTGTGAACATCACAATAGTCAACTACTATGTCACCATTTTCTTCTCTATATTAATGTACATTTACTCCATCTTTTTTCTTGTAATTTGTTTTACTTCTATGAAAGTTTTAATAATTTCCTTGTTCGTAGCATATCAATGTTACATTAATACATTTATATAACAATATTTTATATGTGTATATAGATAAAGAAATACAATATAGGCAGGAACATGATTTCTATCTGTTAAAGATATATGTGCATATATTACATTCTGTATGTTTGTAAAGTATGTTTTTATAGTTTCACAATTGAAATCACAAGCTGATCTAAGCTAGATCATTATTAGAAACTTGGAGGCTCTAGACGACTGTTTCGTTTTGTTTTAAGACTCCTCGTCCGTGCGCAACGACGATTCCTCACTTAGGTGTCGAACGCGGGACTTTCCGTCTCGTGCATGAACGACTAACCTCTGTTGTATCCGCGTCATTTACTACTTATTTTTTAAAAACGAAGAACTACAATTTCGATGGCACTAAGTAAAAACACAACAAACCGATACAAATGAAGATTTATTTAGCTGAAAAGCACGACGATGATCATAGTTGAGAATACACTCATTTATATATTGATTTGTGAGTCTGTCAATCATCTACAACATAGGATCAGTCGCATATACGCATCGGTCCAAGTCGCCTTTCCTCATTAGCGCAACAAGATTAACATCAAATTCATATAAGTAGTTACTTCAGTGGTATATTGAAGAAAGATTACATATAAAAGTATAATACAGGAAGAGAGGATTAGTTCGCAGAAAGGAAGATATAAAGTAATTTTATTCTCACGGCTTAAAGGAAGACAAAGAGTGTATACACATACACCATTGTTACCGATTATGAACCATATCACTCAGTCTCCAACCACTGCTTGCGATAGTCATGTGGACCCCAACGAAGTAGTCTGCATCTAACAGCGTGGCTCAGATCAGGAATTGGTGACTTGATGAATTAATGTCATGTTCTGTTTCGACCTCCCCTAGCTTTCTTTTATCCGCCCCCAACCGTGATCAGCATTGTGCGCCGTAGTAATCAGCTGTTGATCATGTATAGTACGTGGCCCAACCATCTCAGTCGATGTAGATTCACCTCACCAACTGGTTTGCCACCATTCCCTAATGTCCTGTGTCTAACTTCACTATTACTACTACATATCAAAATATTGATTTTTACACCTATTTGATTAGTCATGTATATTAATAAACACCCAGAACTGTAACTCAATCACATGCTCCATGTCATGCTGAATATAGTTCATCTTGATTTAATACAAACAATGTTATACATTAAATGACATATACTGCGAAATAAAACAAATAATACACTGGGTATTCATCGTATTGAATTAAAAACAACAACAAAGTAATGTTAAACAAGAATCATAGTGTATTAAATATGTGATTTTGCCTTTTCATCTTGCCATGTCAGCTCCTATACCATCGAGCTAGCATCCAACTGTAATAATGTTTCACTTCAGTCGATCCATGATCTTGTGCAAAGCTTCATCCATTGCCACATGCAAACATCAAAAGATTTCACAAAAAACACTTTCAACCAGTTATCTTTGAGAACTGTATGTGTATTGAAAGGGTCCAGAACAATGCATTTTGTGGTTCTTCCAAATATATTATGTACATGTAAATATTCCAGAGCTACATATCCAGGAAAAATTGAAACATAAAAAAACAACTACACAGCGGGTCTAGTCATTACTTAGTTAAGAAATAGTTTTATCACTGAAAAACTGGAAGTGAATGAGTTTGGAAGTACACTGTATCTGTGAACGAACGATATTCAAATAACAAAGTGCATTAGCACCTGTAAATAGATGTTGCGATTTCAGTAAATTGTTTAGAAAATTAATAATGAAAAATGGACTAATTGAATAAAGGTTAAAAAGTAGAAACCTTCACAAAAATTATTTATTAATATATCCGTTTCATCACTAAGTTAGTTTCATATTGTTTGAATCGGATAACTTATTGACAGTTATTTTTATATAGTTAAGATCATGTGTCAATTGAAGCTAGACCACCTTGGGAAACCTGGAAGCACTGGACGGCCGTTTTGTCCCATTGTGGGACTCCTCAGCAGTGCGCACCCACGATCCCACCCTGCGGGATCCGAACCTAGGACCTACCAGTCTCGAGCCAGAGCACTTAACCGATAGACCACTGAGCCGGTATCGAGCGGTGTTAATTTCTTACTTCAACCAATCGACAAAGTTGAGCAACCGTTCACCAATTGTCTCTAGTGAGTTCCTATTTCACAACAGACGTGGTTTGAACTCTACTGATCACTGCTTCTCACTAGAACTCCAGGAATTATCTCTTGAATTCGGTCACTAGTGAGCATATGATTATAATCATTTAATAAATTCTTAAATTCGTGTTTCTCATTCTAGACGGAATTTTCCTTTCTCTTTCAGTTATTATTTAGATTAACTTGTTTTTTGTAATTCATGAATTTCTCAGAAATTTTACGAAATTTATTATTCCCACATCTTCCTCCAACTTCTTCAATTCATAACATTGAAGTACCAATCTCTAACAACAATAATACTGATCATATTAATAACAAATTATGCTTATTATTAAGTCATGGAAATGCTGTACATGAATTATTCTTCGTTGAGTGTATTAATCAATTTTTACAAAACTATACTGCTACAACAACAATTCATCAGTCTCCTTTTCCTGCTACCATAAATATCGATGATAATAACGCAGTTCCTGATCATCAGCACAGTACAGCCAAATGTTTAATTTTCTGTTTTCATAAATCATGGAATATTTATCATAAATTGTTAAATCCTTTATATGCAAATAATATAACATTGAAAAATAATTTGACCATAATTGATATGACAGTTATGCTAGAAAATTTACTACTCATGCCAAATCCAAATTCTGAATTGAATAATAATGATAAAAGTTTAATGACTGATGAAAATATTGGAACTATTATTAAAAATTATATCAAAGAAAAGGTAAATATATATATATATATGTTTTATTAAAAAGTTATTTATTTAACTTAAACACATAAATATTGGTACAAAGGGGGCACCAGATATATATGTGCCGCACAAATCTCATTTGGTTTGTGTGAGGGCTGTGATACTGCCCAGGTGCCTAAACTGAAGCAAGTGGTTTTCTTAGGGGACCACACCAGGAGCCTTTGACCTACAAATCTGATCCACAAGGCAATGGAGCATCGTAAGGAGATGCAGTCCCATGGTAGCAGGTGACCAACGATTTATTTATACGCCATTTTTCCCCTCAGGATACTGGAGCCCATGTACACCATTGGTTTAGAATCAGGATTCTCCAACTCCCCTAGGTGGACTCATTGTGTCCACCAACCCGGTTATAGCTTCGGACATTCGCTTTTTGTCATCTCAATTTCGTAAACAACAGTAATGCCACGAGAAGACAGAGAGTAGGACTTCCCTGGCAGAGGCTATATACGCGCCATATAAGAGGATTTCGAGAGGGAGAGCGGACTCTCCTCACTGTCGGCCGTACCAGAGAATTTAGGGATCTTTATTTGTGTTAAATAATTTATTAGGTAAGATAGAAACTATTAATGGATTTGCGTTCTCTGAGTTGTGTAGTTCAGTTTTAAAGCGTCCATCAACATCAGTATTAAAATTCAGATAGAAATGAGCTATTTGAATTTAATGATGATACAACATTATGTTAGGCATGTGTTATGAAGTTCAAATAGCTCATTTCTATCTTAAGTCTGTACTGGTGATGTCTAAAAAGACAATGACAAATTTCAAAATCTTCTCCACTATCTCAAAATGTAAATCCAAGTACGGTTAATCCACATTGTTTTGCATATGTGCTAATAATACTACCCAGTCGCCTTGATACAGTTAGATGAAAAAGGATATAAACTTATACACCGAAAATCAAGTGTTGTAACTACTATCTCACCGCGTTTAAAACGATAAGGTATAGATGAATTCTGTGAATATTCTGTCCAATTTAAACTGATATCAAATGTAAACACACAAAGAACTGGAAAATAGCTGTTTCTTACTGAATTGAAACTCGTCAGTAGAGTGCGCTAACACACACACACATATATATATATATATATATATATATATATATATATATATATATATATATATATAAAGCATTAAACTCGTTGTCTTCATGTCATTTAATTTGAGCACAGAGATCATACCACTATCATAAATAACGGTAATGAAAACTGTTTTTTACTGTAATGCAAATCTGGTCACGTTAGATTGAGTACTGATAGTATACTTTTCTTCATAAAAATCGCCTACCATTTTTAGACTGATGAATTTCTGAAGAATAGTTACACAACTAATCCCTCGAATGGTATGCAACAACATAATGTTGGGATTTTCGTTGATAATATATCAGCTTTATATGATCTAGGAGTTACTATACGTGAATTAGAACAATTTTTATGTAGTTGGCTTTATCATTCACATGATCCACAAACTGCCATCAATATAACTAATTTGTTAGTTTGTATCGGACTACATGTTGGAGATTTTTTCCAAAATTCAATTGTATCAGAATACGAACCTGCATTGGTACATCTCGTTGCTCTATGGAAATCACGAGCTTCAATTATACTAGAATGTAAACCATTACTAACAGGTTATACATCATTGGTAGATGGTCAGGTAAATTTCTTGTTTGTAAACTATTTAGTATTTTCTATGGTTAGTATGTCTACTTCCTCGTTTCCAAAATAACTGACAGAAAATTTATCACCAGAACATCTGTAGCTATTCCTTATTTCTATTTAAAGATTGAAGTGATCTCATTATGCATGCTGATTCTTACTTGATCAAACAGGTTTCTATAGCTTTGTTTATCCTATTCTCTTTACTGGTCGAGTCAGAGCTTATGGCGAACTGTCATTAAAGTTAAAAACTTCAATTGGTGCTCTTCAGGAGTATCGTTCCCCATTTTTAGTTAACCATGTTAGAGATTCCGTTCTCATCGTGTGAACTTTCAGGGGTTAGTCTTTCGCTGAGATTAACTTTCTTACTTAGACTACTCAGACGATGTAGTTGTATGATAAAGGCGCCGATAAAATGCAGAGTATTCTGACCACCATATGTTACTAATGTTCGGTCATAAGTGTCTTTGGACCAAGCAATCCCTGGGTTAGGAATAAGGCACCAGCTAAAGGTAGCAAATGTTCATCATGTGTCAAGTATACCTAACCATCGCCTACTTCGACGGGAGATGTTGTCTATTATAAGAGTAGGCTGGAAGAAAGCTAGGATCTATCAGACGAAGACATGGCACCAATCCACGATGTTATTGACAATAGAACTGATCCATGTCAACAGGTGTAGACTACCTGGTTGGGGTCCACATGATTATCGTAACCAGTAGTTAGAGACCTTTAATTCATATTTTCTTGGATTGTATATGCCTAATTTTTTCAATCACCACTCATACTGTTATCACCTTTGTTGTGAACTAGAACGTAGTTGAAGACGATCAATGTATTTTAGTACGAAATTAGAGTTCTTTAATAAAGTGTGAAATGCATACATTAAATATTTCATTTGCAAATCCTCCACTAGTTATCTTCAATTTCATCGTTACTTCATTGTCATAACATTTACTCTCTGTTCTCGTTCTCTTTGATTCGATCTTTCCAACCTTATGGTGCTAGGCATTCCACCTGTAATTGATGTCATATACTACTTATGTCGACATACACCACACGTCTACTAAAATGGGATTCGCCGTGATACTTGTCTCTGTACTCATGGATGTAGCAATGTGAACCGATATATGCATTACCAGGTTATACTGGTAATGAGTGACTGCTCATTAATAAATCACAGTTTACTGTGACTTTTGAAGATAAAAGCAGAGCAGTCTGATTTAGAGACAAAATGAAGTTATTTTATATAGATCTCTGCTGTACAATTAATTATTAATACTTCAGTTTATTGAAATTTGTGTTGTTCTTTTTGTTTTCAAAATTAAGTTAACTTGTTGGAAACGTTCAACGGAGGATAAAATTAGTCTTCAGGATGTTACCACTTCGAGCACATATCATTTTCATGTTGAGGGTAAGCATATAAACTGTTATACTCCAGGAACTACGAAATTATTAACATGAGTATTTTAAAATATCTTGTAAATAAGTATTTTTATGGCAAAAAGAATAAAACACTCAATCATTATTTGTTGTGACCTTTAATTTTCTTGAAATTGAGCCCACTAGACTATTAATGAGCCATTCGTGTATGCCAATCAGATTAATGACTTTGAACAACGACTGGAAATTCTATTTCCTATTGGTCCACACAATGATTAACTAGAATACGAAGATAACAAGCAGATTTATCGTATTCTGTATTCTCCTCACTTAGAAACTGACAGGATTACGTATATTAATTAGATGACCACAAAGCACTGAGAAGTCACAGTTCTTGCAGTCATATGTGATATAAAACTGTGTGCTAGGTGGATAATTAACTAACAGTTATTTAGGTGCGGTAAAACACAACACTCAGTGTATAAAATAAGAGCTCACAATAATGATGTAGAAAATATAATCAAATAAATATTTAATGAACATATATAGTAACTGATTGATGGTGGCTATCAGTAAAGTCCTCCTATTCGGGACCTGTCAGCTGGATGTACCTATATCGTAGAGTTGATGTTTTTTTCAAATATTTTCCATAAAAAAGGATACTACAATTCTCATCATAGTAACATTATAGTAGGCAGTGTTAACCATTTAAAATCTGCGCTACTGGTTTTAAATGATCGATAAACTAGTTTAAAAGAGCATATTTCCCCACAACCTTAAGCTGATAGCGTACTTATGAATGAAAAAGCATAGAACTTTCCATCTATTATTTAGGCAGTCCGTTTTGTAAGATTCTCCAGTGCGAATTTCAAGTATTCCAACGTATCCATCAGTTTACTTACATTAAGCTTTTTGGACACTGAAACTTTCTTAATAAAACTACCAAAGTCGGTTCGATGGTTGAAACTACCCCAATTCAGATCGACTATCACATAATTTTTTATGTGTCTCAGTTCATTATGTATGAGGGAAAAGGCAACCTAAAACTTGTACGTGATAAATGAATTAGAGTATGAATCATTTACATATAATCACTTTCATCTGCATTAACTAAACGAATGTAATTTGTGTAATTGAGTTTTATGATTAAAAACAACAAAATCATGTTTTATAAACACAAATTGATTCTTATAGTAGCACTCTTAGGTGGTTTTACTGTTCTTTACCAATACTATTAACATGTTTACATTCAAATAATTGGAATGTACAGGTTGTACACAATGAATAGTCATACTCCAGCTGTAAAGGTTAAATTATTACATATTTGCTTCGAGTGAAATACTTCGATTATTTCACTGATTCATATATTCTTTGATCGTATTTTCAATAAACTAATCTCTCTTATAACAACTAATACTCTAACTGCCCTTATTAACCTGATATTTGTTCTGACAATTTCATCTCAATGTACTAATGGGATGTGGCAAATTGTGAACCGATATACATATGTAACAAGTTTTATGTAATGTCTGACTGACTGATATAATTATTCGGGGAAACCAAGAAAGTCCTTTAAACACAGATGTGACATAAGATTATTTCCTTTAACAAAGTGGTTTATTTGTTCAACAAAAATACAGCGATATCATCAATTTTCGTTTCTTTACAATCAATATACTGACTTGTTAATACAAAATGTGGGAATCGGTCGTTTATCTCTTCGTTAGTAGATAATTACATCATCATCAGAAATATGCGTAATTTATACAAAAAAATTAGTTTTTTTTTTCTATATTTCGGAAGAAATTATTATGGTATAAACAAAAGATTGAGTCGTTGAAATGAAAAAAAAATTTACACATGACGAAAGCCAATACTAATAATAAGTAGTTTCATATGGAACCGTTATCATTAGTGGTAGTTTGAATAACAACATTTGAATTGAGTGTTATATAAAAATTGCATGCAGCTGATTTTAAAATATTTGCATGTGTACGTTTTTTAGACAATGGTTTTTGAAAATCAGAACCTGTACAAATAACACCGATTAAACTATTCTCTTTTAAAGTTGAATATAATTTTGTACAGAATTTGGATACTTTATGGTAGCATTTCTGTAAAGAAAAAATAAAAAACAAACGAAAAACAACAATATCAAACAAGGGAAATTAGTAATGCAAAATATATTTACACAATTGACAAACAACACTGTTATAAAATGTAGGATACTTGTTATAACGCTAGGGTTTCTTGTTATAACATTCCTTTCACATTTTACACTTATGTGGGACGTTAACTTACCTTAGACGAATATCTATACTAGATTTCCACCCTGTGTCTATTCTACAGAACTTCAACACGAGATTAGCCTGACTATAACGTTAATATATTTCCCCACCAAAACCCGACACAATCCAACAACAAGAACAGTCAATCAATAACAGTTAGGATAGGGGAATACATATAACACATATAACATCTGTCATGCTATCTATCTTAACCAGCAAAACAACCAATCATTGTTATTCTCGCCCATACATCAAACAAAAATACTTTTTGATATTAATGCGTTTATTTTGGTACTAATTAAAACTGTTCAGCTTGATAGAGATATCAACAATGTTTATTTTATGTATTGCCGTTAATATAATTAATGAATTACAGAAAATATCGTTTTGGAGTGGATAATAAACAGTAATAAGTTTGATGAATCAATACTTATAAAATAATATATATTTATATATATATAATTAACAATCACTCACCAGGTGCTTGGATATGTGCTTGTAGTATGAGCCACACTTTAAAAAAGAGTCAATGATTTTACGATCCTGTTGCCTAAACCCTACTATTTTAAGTGGAGTTCCAACTTGAGGATTTGATGGGCGAAAGCCGAACACCGTAAGCACTAGACTATCGTTCCACTTTAGTCGAATGGTGATACGGTAAGCTTGAAGTAAGACATGTAATCAGCCAACCGGCAACTAAGCGGTGTAAGGGTTAAGTGCTCAGATTCTTACGACGTTATGAATGTGCATCGTTGCTGAGAAGTAGCATACTAGGACGAGACAGTTACCCAGTACTTTTTGGTTTTCAATGATTATCTAAGATTGGTCAATGATGAAAATTATGAATTTCAATCATCTCTACAAACGCACCATAGTAATAATACTGTGCAATATATAGAACAACTTACTGCTTTATCCCATTCAGGTGAACAATTCGCCTGTATCATTACTAATCTATGTGAATCACACAAATCAACGATGTAATTTGATAATTTTTTCGAAATCTTATTGACTACTGCTAATGTTGTTGTAGGTTCATCACTGTTGGTAGTAGTAGTAGCAGTAGTACTCGTGTTTACATTATTAGTAGCAGTCGTTTGATGATCATTTGAATTAAAATCTATAGGTATGAAAATATCTTTATGTTCTGAATCGGTAATAATATGCTGGACTGATTCCTTTTCTCTATCTTGTTCTTTTCTTTGCTGTCGTTGTTCTTCGTCGTTTTCTTCTTCATAAATTGGCCAATAAGCATAAGTTATACCGGAATCATGTAGTAAACGATTAAATAAGTGAATTGGTTTACCCAAAGATTTATAAAATGAACATAATTTTAATAAATGTTCTTGAAAAACTGGATGAGATTCAAAATATTGACTTTCTGTTAATAAATTGTTACATATTGATGAAATTAATTGGTTATTGTTGGTAGTAATAGTAGTAGTATTGTTGTTGTTTTCCTGTAAATTACCATAGATATTTGAGTTTTGTTTATCACTTGTTAATGCAGTAAATCTAGCAGACTTAAAAAGATGTAAACAAATCTTAATTTCAAGAAATGAATTAACAAAAGAAGTATTCAATATGTATATATATGTTCCTTGTAAATTCTTTTTATTTGAGTGAAAATAATTGAGAGAAGGCAAAAAAACTACACAGATTGTTCCCCATCAGAAGTTTTCTTTGTAAGAAAAGGATTGATAATTATTGAATATTAAAGTCACGATTAAACTAGAGCACACAGATGAGCCGGCGATTTTCAACCAATTAGCATGAGTTAGTGAGCTGAGAAGATGCATGAAAAGTCCTACGTAAATTGTACATAAACTTCAATATGTTATATCTTATCATCTGTTAAATACTACGTGACATAATCTCAAATCAGACTATCAACTACAATGACCTTGTCCATGTGCTTACCTATAATGTGTCAACCAACACTAGCAACCGTGAATCAACTTTGAATCTTTATTGGTCCTCGATATACTAGCATCTCTCCCTCACAACTAAAAGCAGCTATGATTGTAAGAGACTGTAAGCAGTAGATTGGGAATAAATTAAAAATAGTTGTAGTCAGCACATCCAATGAAAGCTTTATGGTAAAAGGTATATATATATATATATATATATATATATATATATATATATATATAATTGAATAACCTATAAAAGTCGAAACAACTCTCAACTAATTTCAAGATCAGAATCTTCAACACAAAAGTCAAGACAGTTCTACTGTATGGGGCTGAAACTACTACAGCCATCATTAAAATGGTACAAATATTTATAAACAATTTTCCACGCAAGATATTCAATATCCGTTGGGCGGATGTCATCAGCAACAACCTTTTATGGGAGAGGACAAAGCAGCTGCCAGCTGAAGAGGAAATTAGGAAAAGACGATGTAAGTGGATACGACATACATTTCGGAAATCGCCAAACTGCATCACGAGGCAGGCACTAACTTGGAATCTCTAAAGTGAAACGGAAAAAAGAGAGGCGAAAGAACATTTTATGTTGGAAATTGGAAGTAGACATGAAAAGGGTGAATAGCAACTGGGAAGAACTGGAAAGGATTGCCCAGGACAGGGTTAGAGATAGAGAATGCTGATGGACGGTCTATGCTTCTCCACAAAGGGTAACAGGCGTAAGTAGTTTGTATATAAAAGCTAGTTACTTAACGACCAACCAATAAGAATATATGTAATAATAGTCCATAAATAGTTCCGGCTGTTACCACTCACCAATTGTTCTTCATTTGGACATAAGTGTTTTTTACATCATCGTTATTTTTACGGATTTATAAGTGTATATATGTGGTGTGTGCTACTTATGTACGTCAATATAAATAGTATGTAACACCAATCGGAAGTGGAGTGCCTGAAAGCTGAAGGTTGCGAAGATCGAATTGAAAAAAGGGGATTTAAAAAGAGTGTAATTACAAAGGCAATGAAGTTTGAGACAATTAAAGAATGTAATGTATGGTTTTCACATTTTACCAAAGAATCTTTTTACTTATACATGGTAATATCGACACATAAATAACAGTTCGGAATACCTTAGCTTCTATTGGTGATTGATAATCTTCTGGAAAACGCCAAGACGTAGTCACATCACCAAATCCAAGATCTAGAAAAATAAAATAATTACAAATATGAACTGAACACACACAAATAGGTCAAATTTACGATAATAATGCTATTTAAATAATTTTGTGATTTTTTTAGAAACAAACTTTTTTGTCAACTATTATCAAATAGGTGTATACAGTTGCTTTACGTCATGGCTTTATTTATTTATTGGAACGAATAAATATTTTAGTGTGGGGAAGTGTAATAATAATAATAATGAGGAAAACGGAGAAGTACAACCGGAAAGATTTCTTCCAGGTAGGGAAGTTACAACCACTTTTTATGAAGAAAGTAAAAGGTTACAGCAGCATCGCCACTGACTTATATTCTGAGCCATATCTGATAACGTCTCTAGCCACTGTGTTGCACCATCTCTCGGACACCAGCCAGGGAGTCGTGAAGGACCGACATAAGCCAGACCTTGCAGCTTTCTCTCATAACACGACACCATGTTATACACTGACCACCTCTCCACTTTTTCCAACCAGTCCCAGAGTCGGCAAATAATGCGCGACGAGGAATTCTCTGGGGCGACCTTCGTAAAACATGCCCAAGCCATCGAAGTCGATGTTTCAAGATGATGACACCGATTGGATTGCATGGCACATCGCACAGTAAGGCAATATCACCCGCATACTCAGGATCGAGAAGTCTTTCTCTAGGCGACAGATCCACACCGCCATTTCTTACATCCATCACAGCTGTTTCCAGAATGTCATCGATGGAAAAGTTGAAGAGGCATGGTGAGATTGAGCAACCCTGTCTTACTCCACTGCTTGAATGGAACAATGCAGAAAGGTGGCTGTATAACCCTCACTCTACCTGAAGTGTTTGTATTTAGGGCTTTTAAATTGTTAATAAACTTCTCAGACACACCCTTCCTTGATAGACAATTCTAGAAAACAATCCTGTTCAACGGAACGAAGGCAGCTCTGATGTCAGGAAACACTAGGATTGTTCGTCTATGATAAGTATGACGGTGTTCTAACATTTGGCGGAGGGTGAAGATCCGTCATCGCTTTAAATTTCCTAAACAATGAAGTCCAGCGATTCTATACGAGACTGAACGCAAAACTTTTGTATGGTGGTATGGATGATACCATTGTGATATAACATAACAGTTTTTACTCTTCATTTTAAATGAATTTACAATGGGTTACGATTTTTATTCAACAAAGTCGGAGAGTGATAGTCTGAGTGTACGTTCATGCACTGAGCCTTAAATCCTTGTTTGGATAAATCCTAATGATACATACAGTTACTCAAATAGAGATAGATTAATTCCAGTTTCAACCCGCCACTTAATGGTTAAATTTCGAGTGCTTCGAGCATAAAACCATCAACCTTTATCTTGATTACTTTTATAGCTCATGGCTTACCTTGAACATCATAGAAAGTTGTGTATCGGTTCTGAATTACACAGACTATTTATCTGAGGGTCGATGTTTCGAGATCCCATCACGTGCCACGGCCTCGCCCTCAAATGCTCTAATACGGCCGAGGGTATGGAAAACCAGCTCTTCCTCTTGAAATGCTCTCACATAGACACGCGTATACAGCCATTGACAGCGAAGAAATATTCACTGCTTTCTCGCGGCATTACTGTTGTTTACGAAATCGAGAAAACGACGAGAGAATGTCAGGTGCTCTAACCCGGTCGATGGAAACAATGAGTCCACCCAGGGGAGTTGGGAAACCCTGATTCCAAACCAATGGTGCACATGGACTCCAGTACCCTAAGGGAACAAATGGCGTATAAACCAATTGTTGGTCACCGGCTACCATGGGACGGCATCTCGTGACGTCGCTCCACTGCCTTATGGACTTGACCTTTAGGTCGAAGGCTCCTGGTGTGGCCCCCTAAGAAAACCACCTGTTTCGGTCTGGGTAACCGAGTAGTATCACAACCCACATACAAACCGAATGATTTATGTGGCGCATATGTATTCGGTGCCCCTTTGTATCAATATTTATGCGTTTAAATAAATAAATAAACAGAAGATGAATCAGAGAAAGTAGAAACAATTACTAGTTCATCAAATTGTAGGTGACACATATGAATAATTCGCTACATGAAAATCCAAAAAAAGACTAGTTAGGATTATGGTTAAGAGATCAGATTATGACTATTTATAGTTGATGTAGCGCCTGCTTCACGATTTAAAGTTGGAAAGAATCAGAACATACAATAAGAATTAGAAGCAATGGTTATGACGAATATTGTTTTTTAATAAAAAAAAACATGTTTCGTGGGCAGCATGAAAAAATTGTTATGCGACTAGTCCTCTGATTTTAAATATCAAAAACCTTGAAGTTATCTGTAAAATAGAAAGACAGTAATCCATTTCTTCATGATTCTTAGATTTCCGTTTATCAATTTTAAATATCTTAGTAACCGAAATGATTCCTATTTAGCTCACAATAACCTAGGTATCCGCCACCGTTTTGAATCCCATGCAAAAAAAAACAATCCCATAACGGACGTCTTAAAATATAATTGATTTATACATACAGTATACTGTTATTCAAAATATGTAATTTTGTTTTTAAAACGAAAGCACAATATAGGTGACAGCAACTGTGAGTCTATAATTTATGAACGACATTTGAGTGACGCTTAAGTGACCGTGTAAATGTCCACCTTCTAACTAGGACTAAATGAATGTTATAAACCAGTGTGAGGAATAAGGATTTTGATGTACAGTTGATGGTTAGGGTGACGAACTAGATTTAGGATTTTCATCACGAATTGACATTAGCTATAATGCCAAAACGCTATTTAGCCAAACGGACGAATGAATCAAAGATCTGTTATCTTAAATCTGATTGGTTCATCCATAAATTATAATCTGACCACAACAATAAACAATAATTAATTACCTTGACTTAATTTTAATCGCACAAGATCCATTGTAGCAATAGCGTCTTCAGCGGAAGAATGACCTCCTTTACCAGTTTGAATCATTCGCCTAAAACAAAAAATTGTATGCGATTGGAAGTGTTGAAGTAATACTATATTTTTTTATCAAATGACTAATTGACACATAGTGTCTTGAAGTTTATTTCTGTTTCAATAATTAAATTCCATTTTAGGAAATCTGTATCTTCAGACAACTCAGTCTGATAGGTAACTACTTACTCCATAGATCGATTCTAGTTCTTGTTTTGACCTTCTTTGTTTTATTCACTTCTATTAAGTAGTATGCCCAGTTCCAATAGAAGGTACTTACAATATTTATATTAAATATTGTTTTGGTTACTGGGTGAATTTCGTCCCTTCAACCAGTTGTATGTCAGGATGAAATAATCTTTGAATTGATTCATTCAATAAAACCAATGAACTGAGAGTTTAAATCTCTGTAGTTGGAAGTAAGTAAATAACTTACGGCCTCAATTATCCATGTATAGAAAACTAATTTTTCCTGAGACTCCGTTCCCTTTTAGACTATCTATAAAGCCAACCTAAAATATAATCAACTGCATGAAAAATTGTTGAAGCATTTTCCACATCTATTACAGCCTCATTATTCTACTTAAATATTTTATATCTGCTCACGATTACGATTTTTTGTAATTTACATTACTGACTGGCATTAACTAGACAAATACCGAAAACCAGAGAGCTTTTTCATCCAAGTATGAAACTCTTCGACGAAATACATATTCATGACTCTAACGAGAATCGAACCAAAGATTCTCGAATCTCGCAGCGAATATTTGACCTTTAGACCACTGAATCAGTATCCAATGGTTTACATGACTAGCGCCAACTAGTTCGCGATATAGTCTATCTTCTCTTCCAGATCTACTTTACACCCGACATGGTTGAACTTCACTGGTTATGGATTCTTATTGAAACTTCGGGAATCACCTTAATGGTTATCAAAGGTCAGTTCGTGATATCAACTAGGAAAACTCAACAACCCTCATACATGCTTTATGCCAATAATTTTCCATAAACTTGATAGTAAATTATGTACACTCATCTATTTTGGATTAAAGAGAATTGATACACAAAATAATTGACTCTGTTACAATCACTGTGTATTTTTTTCAAACAGAAATCCCGATAATCAACGAAGGAATTCTATCAAAAATGAACATATACATGAGTTCTTATTTACTGTGACAGAACAATAAAAAACTAATAACTAACCCAAGAAAATGTTCTGATAGAAATCGAAGACGTGTTTTAGCCGCTCTATTGCCTTTTAGATTATAGATGACACTTGTATCAATTACGTACGGATGAAAAACCTGAAATTATTGAAGCAATTAAGTAAGAACAGCAATTTTTAGCGAACGAAATTTACGTGTTTTTCTGTACAACTTTGGTGGTGGAAAACAGTCATAGACAAGATGATTCGAGGAGAAAAAGGGTAGCTTGGCTTGATGAAAAGTATCAGATAATTTTACGACTCAAGATCTAAGGAATGACAAAAACTGAATAGATCTACATCTACATTGTAACTGATTCAAGGACATATGGCCCAACCTACATGATGAATTGAGAGGGTTTTGTGTGAAAAAGAAAACAAACATTACCAAACTACCTAGAACCTTGATCGATAAGATTTTGTCAACTGAAAGTTGATTATAACGAACAGGAATGGGAAATGTTAGTGCATTTATTTCACTAATGAACTGGACGAAGTATTTAAAGTTATAAACAATAAACCGAATGAATATTTACAAATTGATTCTAGAAAATAGTGAAAATTAACAAGCTTAATTTTATGTTAATAGTTTGTACCAGAGACTGGTGTTAGGCTTCTTTGACCCGCTGATTTGACTTCCATTTGGATGAACGCATGAATATGCTATGAATATAAATCTTCCATTTAACTCCGTATATTACCTAGGCTAACTCCGTTTGTTTGACGGCAGTAATAGGAAGCCAAATACAAGTTGCGTTGGAAGAATTTATTTCAAGCATTCGTTTACCTAAACACTCAGAATAAAAGGCGAAGCGGAGAAAGCGAATGAGACAACTCGATTCGATATTTATAGTCAGACAGAAATAAACTGCAGACACATAATGAGTATGATGAGTAATTAACACACGCTAATATGAAATCAGCCAAAGTTAATAAGCGGATAAATGACATGGTCTAAATGTGACTCAAAAAAAAAACAAATAAATTGGTCTGTTTAGAAGCTAGAGTAACCTGTGTGGGTTTGACATAGCACCAGCCACTGCAACACTAATGCAAACAGGGAAGCAGTGGATACCTGTTTTACCATAGTATAAGACTCGTCAGCACTATGCATAGATAATATCACCGGGAATCGAAACCAGAACCTTCATATCTTGCACAGAACGCTCAACGTTCAAACTACTGAGACGAGACTCAACGGTTTACATGTTTGATCTCAATTAATTTACAGATGTACAATGAGTGACAGTATTTATTCCACAAGCCTAGATTTTTTCTTTATATGGTAAAAATGAACCAGTAATTCACTAATTTTTTTTAAAAAAAAAGGAGGAAGTCACCTACCTTCATGGCTTCCAAATCATTTCCAATTGAATGACCAACTAAGATGGCATCTCCTGGTAACGTTTCAGCTAATTCACGCTGTATATCTTCCAGTGTAGTGTCTATTAATGCAAGCATATCTCTAGTAATTCCACTGAATCTGGAACCAAAAAATGGCGTAAAATGCGAAAAAAAATCAAAGATAAGGTAACAATCTGGTTAACAGAAGAGCTGTTTCGCTGAAAGATGGTGACAGTACGAAAAGAACTGTGAAGTAGCTTTGGAATCAGACATTAACATTCGATTTAAATTTATATGCATAGTTCAAGACTTATAAACCATTGCTTGAAAAGCTTTTTGTCTAATTCCGGTAGGATTTATCGGGAGATACTACATATCCCAATAATGATCAGTGAATGCATTATTTAGCCTATGAGAATTGCATAATAATGTAAAGACTGGTTGTTTGCATTATCTCATTGATGTTTATGACTGCAACTTATCAAATCTGGGATGCAGAACATTCAGCTGGTGAGTAACAAGTAAGATGAAACGTGCTTCGAGGACTCCACTACTAGCCATTATCCATTTCTGCTTATAATACCTGCAGCCTGATGGGAATATCGCAGGAATCCGCACAGGACGTACATAAGCCAAAAGAGACTAATTAATTGCTGTTCAAAACATCAACAGTACGATCCAAATTACCAACAAAAATAAATTAAAATTTACCCGATTGTACGAGTGAATCGTTATCTGGAATCAGTAACTAAGTTGATAACCTAATGGTGCTTTGAGCAAACAATAGTGGGTTCGAGTCCCGGACTAAACACCGACTGTAGAATGTAGGTGTATGCAGCTGACGAGTTCCAGATGAGAGAAAAAGCGGGCCGTAGATTTCATTGCTAGTTATACCCCATCTGTTCTATATTTTAAAATGTCAGCAGATTCGGGGATAGTATGGACATGATAGAATAAAATAACAGTGTTAGGAATTTGGATTAAAAGTAATTTTTAGGGACAGAGTTGAAGACACTTATCTAGCTGGTTCCTTGATATGAAATATTAACAACCGTTTGGTTAGTCTGACAGCTTCATAAATCATGGTTTTTACTTTGCAACCTTCCCATATTTATTAATTTTAAGCGTTTTCACAACTAAATATTCGCAAGTTTTTTACTCATCACTTAGCTGTTAGAAAAATATAAACTGACTTTCGTTAGGTAAAAAATCCAGCAGCCGCTATCTTATATTTAATTAGTTCATTAGCAAAGTAAAATTTACCAAGAATTTGAATGTGAAAATGCAATAGGTTGTGAATACTTCTATAATAACCTTATATTCTTAAAACGTACAACGTTCAAAATGATCAGTTTAATGGTAAATTAATGTTATTGTATAGTGTAATACAAAAAAGAATGATATGATTGGTAAACACAAACTAGATATCGATTTTTCTGCCTTACTTAGTTAAATAGTCTTTAACAGGATTTGGCGGTTTCACTAAGCGATCGAACATAACTGTTGCTTTCTCATCAACCATAGTCACTCGAGCCAACTCACTTCCTACGGATGTAAGTACCATTTCACAGTCTACTGCATACATTGGACTGTTGGCTGATACAGGAAGGTATACAGGCTGTAATGATAATATAAGGAAATTAAAGGGAAATAACGTTAATATACTGATTTCATAGGTCATCGTTGTTTTTTGTACACGGAAATATAATTCAATATTTCTTTTAAGAAATACTTAGATTGGACGACGTTAGATGCAAAAAACAGGATTCTTATATGCTTGCTCAACCACCTTGGCAAGTAAGAAGACTCATAAATAACAAGGAAACTGAACTTGAGGAACCGAATATATATATATATATATATATATATATATATATATACCTGCAAATTTAGGACGTGAAAATAAAGAAATTGAAAGTATGCATATCAAACGTATTTGTTGAAACTTCTAAATACTCTGGATGATGTAACATTGGTCGCTACTCATTGGATCAATCGATGTAAGAATTTCAATCCTACAAGTCAGTCGCAGTTCAAAAACCTTAGCATTAATTTTCTTTGACTGAAACTGGGCAACACCGGTTCGAATCCTATAAGAAACATCAAACTCTTGAAGTATGTGGATACACCTTATTGGCGAGTGGCAATTAGTATGATTTCATCCCGACTGTTTCCAATCTCTTAAAATACCTTATAATAAGAATGACTCAAACCTTAGTTGGTCCTAAATCAGGCGAAAGAGGCTGTGGATTATTTATTTTCGATACAAATTTGTTTAACTCGAATACTTATTGTCTCCAATGTTTGGATTAGTCGACTTGTTTGAAGTATTCAATTTGGAATTACTGAGTTGCATGTACAAATCCAACTCCTCTTGGTACAGCTCGCGCGATCGCATAGTATTACTGTCACTTACACTTAAAATTCAAATATGCAAACACATACTTGGTTAATGAGTGACATTCAACTAAGATAAATCCTACAGTTGAAAAAATGCAAAAGCAGATAGCTGGCTTTCAGTTTTGAACACAGAAAATTAGTGCAAACCAATGATTATTTAGGGGTGAGCCAATATATCAAACACCTTATAGTTCTATTCCCCGACCGTAGCTGCTACCTTGACGTGGCGGTCGGGCTTGTCTACCGCAATGACCTAACATGCCAGGCAGGTCGATTGGAGAACGGTAAAACTAAAAACAGCAACTCAAGGTTTGAGTGCGAAGTCGTACTGCTGACTGTCGACGGGTGTGACCGCAGTGAAGTGTTTCCCTCGGACAACCAGCATCTGCGGCGATGCTGCCTTCCCACAAGGAAGGAAGGAAGGGGTTAGAAAAGGTCGACCCTAAAATTGTCACGCCTCACCTTGCCTCACGGATTTCCATCTCCGGCGGTAAGGTGTTATATCATGTGGTCTGTGTGCCTTGTTAATGTATGACGTGACGATGCCGCTAATTAGAGTACAGTTAATTATCGATTTGACCAATAACACACGAAACCCGTACAAGCAGTCTAGAGTACTTATCAGTCCTGCTATCTGCCTAGGCCTGCCAGTTAAGTGCAGAACACCAATAACAGCCTATCCAATATGAATCATTTATTTCAAACATACTGGGTTTATATGCCAATCAAACAGACCACATCGTACCATAAAATGGGAAACAACTGTGGCTGTGACTAAGGGGGATATTAGTTGATAGACTGGAGATAACTCAAGAATGGTAAATCGTATAATAATAGTTCATAGGTCAAAATAGAGGTCGTAATAATAGGGACGTGAATATGAATAGTTTAGTTCGTTAAAAATTATGCAATAAAAATATATGTATCATATTGATCCATAAATAGTTCTCAAAAGTTACCATTCATAATTCTCTTCGTGATATAACATAAGGCCCTTTGAGGAACAGAGCTAACACGTCAAAAACACCCCACAAAAAAGCCTTGCACGACCGGCCTCAAGATGGTGTTCCTTGGGGTCTGAGGTCACACTCCCAGGTCGTTAAGACCAACATTAATCCAACTTTCTTTGCAGGTCCCTCAAGAAATACCCTTCCACAGTGTGGGCAGCCAGGAAGCGATATCAACCCTCATACCCGTAACAACACAAGAGACCAAACTGGTCACATTGAAATCCCTACTACATCTAATAACTCTCTTATCTCCACGACTAACCCTTCTCGCGTCCCTTTATCACCTCGCACCGCTATGGCAAACGATTCGAGTATGCGGAAGGTTATTTCTGATCTCCTGAAACCAGGCTCTAAACTACACGTAAGAATTTATAACGTGCCAAACACTGTACCAAATAGAACAACAGGGTTCCTTAGCTAGGACCTTAGGATCTCGCACCATTGATGTGTGCTGCGTCTCCGAAACACGCATACAGGATCCGAGTAGCGTCATTCATTTGAACTCAACATGTCAAAAGAAAGAACCAATTCGATTCACGCTTCGTGTATCTGGAAGCACTGATGCTGCTCTCCGTGGCCTCGCTGGCATAAGTATAGTATTGAGTCCTAAGGCAAAACTAGCTCTTTCAGGCTGGATTCCAGTAGACAATCTTTTGTGCGCCATCCAACTAAACGGAACAGTAATGACTCGGAAAGATAGGGACACTCGTCGTTGCCTCTTCGTCGTCTCTGCCTACTCTCCCACTGACTGCAGCTCAGATGATGTAAAAGATGAGTTTTACATAAAGCTAGGCGCTCTGATGTAGTAATAGTGGCTGGCGACTATAATGCTCAAGTAGGTCAACTAAGTGAAAGGGAAAGACACCTGGGTGGATCTTATAGTGTCGTGGCTCAAATAACAGATAATGGCGACCGTCTTTTGCAGCTATGCTCAGATTACCACCTGTTTCTTGCAAATACTAACTTCAAGCATAAGGAAAAATATCTTTTAACATGGAGACCCCCGAATTCGTACCAACGTTGGAGTCACCTAGATCACATCGCTATCAGCCACCGATGGAGGGGCTCAATAGAAAACTGTCGCTCATTCTGGAGCACATGCTTAGATTCAGATCGTGCTCTAGTTCGAGCATGTATCTGTCTGCGTCTTACTGGACGTAGGAAAGACACTGCAGGGAAACATCTTAGGGTTTTACTTAATGATAGCCAAGCTAAGAATATATCTCGGGAACAACTAGAAAAACAGTTAGGCAGCCATGCAAGTTGTGACCACCCCGAGGCAGCGTGGAATGACATCCGAATAGCTGTGGAAACAGCAGTGATATCTGCTAGTACGGTAAACCATAAGGTTAGGGAGAAACATTAGATCTCAGCAGCATCTACTGCACTGATAGATGCTCGAAAGCTCATCCCATCAGGCTCTGAATATAACGAAGAGCGGAATCAGCTTAAGCGCAGGCTAATAAGAAGCCTACGCAATGACCCTGAACAGTGGTAAGCGGCGAAAGCAACAGAGATGGAAAAGGCAGCGGCATTAGGTAACAGCAAACAACTATTCAGACTTGTTAAAGAAACCGGTATTAGGAACCCAACTATCAGAGGAACTATCTCGGAAGAAGATGGACATATCATTCACTCTTTATCCAGGAGATTTGATTAATGGGCAGAACACTATAGGGTTCAGTTCAACTGGCATTCAGCCAGGCTTCGGTTTCCCACAATCCCCAGTCGTCTTGAATGGCAAGTTAATGTAAATCCTCCAACTATCTACGAGGTTGAAAAAGCTATAGGAAATCTCAGGTGTGGGAGAGCAGCAGGCCCTGACAGGTTTACCGTTGAGATCTTTAAGGATGGTGGTCCAGTACTAGCAACGAGATTGACTGAGGTCTTAGGTAGAATCTGGGAACTGGACGTAATTCCATCTGACTGGTCCCAATCACTGATTGTGCCAGTCTATAAGAAAGGACAAAAGTCCTCCTGTGACAATCACAGAGGAATCAGTTTAACTAATATAGTGTCTAAAATATTAGCTTCAATAATACTTCGATGCCTGACCAAAGCTCGTGAAGAGCAGACTAGAGAAAACCAAGCTGGTTTTCGGCCTGGGCGTGGTTGTATAGACTAGATATTCACTCCACGTCAGGCCCTAGAATATAGACACACATTCAGATGTCCCACAATCGTAGTATTTCCCGACCTTAAGACGGCATTTGACTCCGTTGATCGTGAGGTTCTGTGGCAGTGCATGTAACTGAAAGGAGTACTAAAGAAGTTTATTAACCTTATTAAGGCTCTCTACTCGAACACAACTGGTCGAGTTAGAGCTTTTGGCGAACTTTTGCCCCCAAATACCCTGGTACGCCAGAGAGTGGAAAGGGTTCGCTCTCCCTCTCCAAATGCTCTCACATGGTCACGCGTATATAGCCTCTGCCAGGGAAGTCCTACTGACTGTCTTCTCGCACCACAGGTGTTGCTTACAAAATTGAGAAAAGGAAAAGCGAATGTCCGGCGCTTTAACCGGGTCGGTGGAAAAGGCGAGTCCACCTAGGGGAGTTGGAAAACCCTGATTCCAAACCAATGGTACACATGGGCTCCAGTATCCTGAGGAAACAAATGGCGTATGAATCAATAGTTGGCCACCGGATACCATGGGACTGCATCTCCTCACGATGCTCCACTACCTTGTGGATCAGATCTTTAGGTCAAAGGCTCGGGGTGTGGCCCCCTAAGAAAACCACCTGCTTCAGTCTGGGCACCTGGGCAGTATTACAGCCCTCACACAAATCCAATGAGATTTGTTCGGCGCATATGTATCTGGTGCTTCCTTGTACCAATATTTATGTGTTTAAATAAATAAATGAATAAATTTGGCGAACTGTCATCAGAATTGACTACCTGAAGTGGTGTTCGTCAGGGCTGTTTACTCTCCCCATGCTTCTTTAACTTTATCGTAAACGCGCTTTTAGGAGTAACACTTTCCTCAACCAAATTTAGAGGGGTTGAACTTCTACCACGAGATTCACTTGTTGACTTAGAACACGCCGATGACACAGTGCTATTTGGTGAAGACGCTGACAAAATGCAGTCTTCTGATCACTATAAGCAACAATGCAGGCATATTCGGAATGTGATTCTCATCCTCGAAATGCAAAATGTTACTTCAGGATTGGGTTGCATCGACACCTGTACTAATGATAGGGAGTGAAGTAGTTGAGCGTGTAGACCACTTCACTTATCTTGGGAGTCTCATCAGCCCTTGTGGTCTAGTGTGTGAGGAAATCTCAGCACGGATACAGAAGGCTCGTCTAGCTTTTGCCAACTTGCGTCATTTATGGCGTAGGCGAGATATCCGTCTACCAACCAAAATATGGGTTTACTATGCAGCAGTTCGTTCCGTCCTACTTTATGGCAGTGAACATGGCCGGTAAAAGTATAGGATATTCTTAGGCTACTAGTATTTGATCATAAGTGTTTTCGAAGCATTGCTCGTACATCCTGAGATCACCGAGTAAGTAATGCAGTTGTTAAGAAACGGGTAGTAGGTAAGGATGGCAAATCGATTGATGAAGTAGTGAAACTTCATCAGTTGAGATGGCTGGGACACGTGTTACGTATGCCCAACCACTGAATGCCCCGACGAGCAATGTTTTATGGTGTAGGAGTAGGTTGGAAAAAAGCTAGGGGCGGCCAGACCAAAACGTGGCACAAATCTATGAAGTCACTGACAAGTGGACTGAGCCATGCTGGTAGGTGTAGACTACCTGATTGAGATTTGCCAGATGGTAGCAACCGTTTGTTAGAGACCTTGAATGACATGGCTCAAAATCGTTTGAAATGGCGAAGGTGCATCCGCTCTTTGTGTTCTCCCAAATTCTAGTCTTTTGAAACCTTCATATCCCTTTCTTCTTTTCTCTTTTCGAATATATTTCACTGGATTATGCTTTTCGAATGACATAAACCTTTCGGACTGCTGCTTATACTCTTACTACTTCTACCACTATGGGATTTGAATCGACAATCCTGTCTCTATGCTAATGTGGTATGGCAACTCGAACTGATGTACGTACGTAAGAAGTTCTACGTTGTGACTGACTGACATCTTTGGTATGCACAATTTTGTGTGACAGATTATGGAAAGTTATGTTTATTGTGACGGTTGACTGCTCACATTTCATGAAATGAAGCTAAGTTTCGCCAGTGCAACCCATAAGTTAAGGTTTGTTAATAACCAAGACAACAAGTCTAACAGGCAGCATGATGTTGGTTACTTACCAACGGGTATCCAATGTATATGTACCGAGAAAACCCAAACAGTTCAGTAGTTACTGGTAAATGATTGTGTGCAAACTCTTTACATAATAAATTTAGACTTATTTCGATAGAAAATGTAAAACATTCACCGAAGTGCTTATACTACGGACTGCAATTAAATATTCTCTTTTGAAGTATGTGTGCAATTTTAATCTCACAGTTTAAGGGAAGACAGAGAGTGTATACACCTAGGCCATTGTGATCGATTCTGAGCCATGTCACCTAGAGTCTCCAACCATTGGTTACGATAGTCACGAGGACCCCAACCAAGTAGTTTGCATCTACTAACATGGCTCAGACTAGAAGTCAGTGAATTCAAGCACTGATGCCACGTTTTGGTTTGGCCGCCCCTAACTTTCTTACAACCATCCCCAACACTAGTCAGTATTGCGCGTCGTGGTAATCGGTGTTCAGACATACATGACACGTGGCCAAACCACCTCAGTCTATGAGGATTTACAACCTCGTCAACTGATTTACCATCATTCCCTAATACCCTGAGTCTAGCCTCACTATTACTTACCCGGTTATCTTAGCAGATGCCAGTGTGTAAAAATCAACACTAGAACGGAGGTAAATCCAGTTGCGAAGTCCCCATAAAGATGAAACGTGAGTTCTGGGTTCTGTTGCTAGCCACTAATACCCAAAATTAGTAAAAATTCAGTGACATAGCGTATAAGTTGTTAAAATATATTAAGTGAGGAATGATTGAAAGGGAATCGCATTTCAAAATGTAAACAAATAAAAAGACACTTACTTTAGTCGGTACAAAATCTGAACGATTTTTGAAGTGTTTACGTTGATCGACTAAGAATTCATTAGGTAACGGAACATTTTCTTTTTTCATTTGCTCAACATTTAAAACCAGTAAAGTTCTATCGAATGCATCTGGTGTACCTGGTATGGGTAATGGAAAAAGTGTATCAGCTTTTCTTTTAGGAGTGCGTTTTTCTACCGGTTCAATAGTAGTCGTAGTAGTAATAGTCTGTGAAGGTAACTGTTCTTTAGTTATTTTGTGAACTGATTTGATTATACGCATTTTATCTATAGTTTTTTCATCATTTACCCACGTGCGACGGGGAACAGGAGTTAGTATTGACTTATTTAAATCTACACACAAGCACAAAAAAGAAAATATGGAAGATTACACATTTGTGTTGAAGAGAGATATCACAAATATTAAGGTTGTCAGATTATAGTTAGTACATAGGAATTAGTTAAATGGTCGTATGGATAATTTCATGGAAAACCTAAAACCATTAGTCGTACCAGATTTAGTAAGCGATAAACATATACGTCGCTTGTTTAATAAATGGACGAGCTGAGTCTATAAAGACATAATTTTACAAAACTTAGGTTACATCACTTATTGGTCGTTTAAAATACTTGTTTAAGGTGATATATCTGTCCCGTTTCCATCTTTTAAAGTCTCTACTTAGCTGTTTCGTTGTTTCTTATAATTTCTCCAACCTCATTTGTTTTGTCCAGATCGTGTACATAGACGACTTTCTCAAATTCAGTCAACAAGTAGTTATCTGAATAGTGAGTCAGAGAACAGAAAAACCGCATATGTTTGATGTTTTTATCAAAGCACGAGGTTGATGTATACTATGACTTTGTATCACCCTTGGAGTCATCTCAACTTTCATCGAAAACTTTGACTCAATCAAAAACTAACGTATAAAGATGATAAATTTTAAAAGTCAAACAGCCTGGTGAAAGATCCAACTTCGATTTTAACTGTTTTGAAGTCTACTTGATTACTTTTATATCACAGTGACAGAAAACTAATTCTCAGTCTGTTCCTATCATATAAGGTTTTCTGTCTACCCAGTAAACCATAAAATTAATAATTGAAATGTCAACAAGTTCACGACTACCACAGTAATATCAAGCAACTTGAATATTGGTGCTGAATGTCAAGGATTAACTGCTACGACATAAGGTTTAATGCTATAGAAAGCCGTCTAAACAATTAACAATATTACATACAATTCGCAAATAAATGTTTTCTAAAGATTGCATTACTGAAAATTACGTAAGATAGATTAATTGTTTTAATTAGTCCATTTTCTAAGAGATGCCTTTTTAATAAATACGTAGTGTAAAACTACTTAAGTATTCGAAATAAAACTAGCTGGTTATGATCAAGTACCAAATTAGTACATTACATTTGTATTTCAGGGAACAGCATAAACACCTACTCTTCTTCTTTTTAACTCGTTATGAAATAAATTCCCGTCTATTAAACCAAATGACATTCAGACATTAAAGATACTTGGAGGGCTACTGTGATTTTCAGCATATATATTTAAAAGACTATACTATACTTATACATCTATTGAATGATCTACTACATGATAGTTAGGTTATCGGAAGATTTTTCCCACTATACATGACTTTGAGTTGTCGATGGATATTTTCTCTCCCCCACTTTTCTTCCAGATTTCTATGGAGATTGAAAAGACTAGCATGGTCAATAACAACATATCTACAGGTTTAACAGTGATTTGTAAATAACTGAAAATTATAGATTTGTTTTGCAGAAATCTAAAGTATAACTGCTAACTGCCCCTAATTTTTTCAGTCCGTAAAACTGTCTTTTTTAGATTTGGCATGGAAATTATCATCATACTGAAGCAAAACTATGAGTATCAGTATACTAATGTATTTAAAAATGTCAACAAAACTTAAAGAAGTTCTAACAAAATATTCATAGCATAACTAGGTGAGTTGTATACTACTGAAAAATTAGTTAAAAATTTCCTATTAAATAAGATGAGGTATGACAGATGATAGTCGGGAGTGGAATCCAGGGCCCACGTTTCTCGTCAGCTGCATACACCTACATCCCACAATTGATATTTAGTCCGGGACTCGAACCCAATATTGTTCGCTCAAAGCGCCATTACGTTATCAACTTAGTTACTGATTCCAGATAACGATTCACTCGTACAATCGGGTAAATTTTAATTTTTGTTGGTAATTCGGATCGTTCTATTGATGTTTTGGGCTGAAATTGACCAGAAAACGGCACAAATTTCGAGTCTCTGAGTGAACATCAACTCTGGGATGCAGGTGTATCCAACTTACAAGTACCGAAAAGGACGAGACGTACGTTGACGATTCTACCGTCAGCCACTATCCATTTCTGCTTATAAAGTCTCTACTCTGATGAGAATATCAAGGAAACCCACACAGGACGTACATATGCCAAGAGACTGATCAATTGCAGACCTAAACATCAACGGGAAAATTCAAACAACCAACAAGAATGAGAGAGACGGGTTGATTATTAATTTGTGTCACCAACATATTTTAAATTATTTAATATTGTAATAAAAAAACTTCTAAGCCGTCATAATTCCGAAAATTACCTGGGGAAGCTTTATGTAATCACAAGTGTTCGGAATGCCTCATTCATTTTCATTCAGATTTAAAGCAAAGCTAAACCATAGGTTTTTTGATACAAAGTTCACCCACGATAAGTTACCATCAACAATTGAGTCTATTATCCCTGATTACGGTGAATGCAGTGGTTTGTCATCAGTTTCATTGGGAGCATAAACATGACTGTAATCGCTGGATGACTGAAAATACCAAGCTCATTACGTTTAAACGTTTTTATGTGTAATTGAATCGTATCAGGACTTATGTGCGAAAAAACCAAACGAACCAACCAAATGTATGAATCCTATACCTAATGGGACTCTCTTTAATAATGTATGATTTTTGTAATGTAACAATGCAACTCATTAACCTCGTAAAGTATCCACTACAAAGCTTCACCTAAGGGGTATGATAATGACATTAAAATATATAGAGCTGTATGTTTCGGACTAAACTGATCATTTGTTTAATACAACACAAATAAAAGCATAACGAAATTAGTTTTTTATTCTGTTTTTATTTAAAAATGAGATCCAAATGCCCTGGTACGCCAAAGAGTGGAAAGAGTCCGCCCTCTAGAAATGATCTCACACGGCCACGCGTACATAACATCTGCCAGGGAAGTCCTACTCACTGCCTTTTCGCGTCATTACTGTTGTTTACGAAATTAAGAGGACGAAAATGGAATGTCCGGCGCCCTAACCGGGACGGTAAATACAGAGGGTCCACCTAGGGGAGTGGGGAAACCCTCATTCCAAACCAGTGGTGCACATGGGCTCAAGTACTTCAAGGGAAAAATCAATCGTTGGTCATCGGCTACCATGAGACTGTATCTCCTTACGATGCTTCACTGTCTTGTGGATCAGACCTTCAAGTCGAAGGTTCCGATTGTGGCCCCCTGAGAAAACCATCTTCTTCGGTTCGTGCACCCGTGCAGCATCATAACCCTCACACAATTAAAATGAACGGACAATTTTTTGTGTGGCGCATATATATCTGGTGCCTCGTTGTACCAACAATTATGTGTTCAAATAAATAAAGTAATAAATTTTAAAATGGCAGAACGGTAATTACTTTTGGGACGAGTCAGATGTCTCGGGATAGCGGTAAAGTTAAACAGACAAGTATGACATAGAACCCAAACTTTTTAAAAATATTTTGTCACTGGTCATAATTAATTAAAAAGTATGCAACGAGGTAGAAAACATACCCGTCATAGCTGCTGCGTGAGCTGTGAGGAAACTTCTGGGGACAGTAGAAATTTCTCTGTCCCATGTATACTTATAGGCTTCTGGACTTAATACTTTCAATGGCTAAAGAAAATGGATATGTTAAAAGATTTACCTCCCCAAACATCAGAGCAAACTGTTGCCCGTATTTCTCGTTCGATTTCACAGTATTTACTCTGTTAATGAATATCAGAACAATATTCTTGATAAACGAGGGCTTGGTGATAGAACACCAACTACACAGTTAACATAAACAAATTACAAGCTTACTCAGGCCATTTAACGAAATGCTGAGGGAAAATCGTCAAGCCCAACAACTTCTGAATATCCAAAGCCGATAGAACAGTTTTTCGATCTTTGATTACAAGTATGGGCTTCTGAAGTATAAAATATGACGTCAATCAGACGGAAACCTTTTTGTTTTCTTTCTTGATTTTGTTCAACTCGCGAAAATCCATTATTAACTACTGTAATATGGTATAAAATGAAGTCACATTTTTTAAGCATCCATACTTTCAGTTAATTAATAAAATTCGTTAAAATTGATTTTCACTTTTAATTTGTAATGAATCCTTCGCAAAAGCGACGCTTTCGCAGCAGATAAACGTTTTTACACAATGGTTCCAGTTCACTGTCGGTATATTTTAACACATGGTTAGATTAATTTCAGTCAACTAATAGAATAAAGATTACTCATTTGCATTTATTGTACAGTATTGTTTGTCCTGTGAAATATATGTTGATGTATAACACACGGAAAGACTGAAATAGAACAGTATGTAATAAACAATGATTGACAGAGAAAAAAGCTCGCTATTCAGTGATTTGGATTAAATATATTACAGGAGTTTAGATGTACTTGTTTGACTTTAATGTCAATACACAATGCCATACTTTGGACTCAAATTTTATTTTACCCTTTTTTCAAAAACATTTTAAATCTTAAGATGACTTTTTGATAATTTGATATTCCGGATTTAAGTATGGCAACAAGCCTGTTGTGATGGAAAAAATTAGATCTCATAGTCGAATCATAATTTAACTGACCAGTGGACAATCTGCGAAATCTATATTCTATGATTGCTTATGCCGTAACTGACATGTTTGTTTTCATATCTTTTTAGTAAGTATATCATATGAGAAAAAACCCTCTGATCAACTGTGGCATCACCTGACCAGTTTATTTAGCCGAGTTAAATCATTAACTCTATTTTGTCAATGCTTATCAACCAGATACATTGGGCAAAGAGAACTCAAATCATTGTTTCAAAAACCAAGGTACATTCATAACAAAGTAAAACTTTCCTCGATAGCAACTGATAAATATCTTTTCAAATTTCTACGTCCTTTATATCTATTCATTTATATGTAACGCTTATGCAAGTTAGCTTTCTTTATGTACTAATAAATTATTACAACGACCAACCCTCTACTATTATTTTAGTGACAACCAACCTAACCCGAGTTTAACTTTATGTGAAACTATGTATGCCAAAAGAGTTAATATAGTAAGCGATCCATTCAGCTTGTGAAAACTGAAAATGGATAATTTCCGAAGTGACTCATTTGTAGTCGACAGACACATACCAAGACCGTCTAATCGCGAATGTTGGACTTTGCTAACTTGCAACACCGTTAGATGCCGGCTCAGTGGTCTATAGGTTAAGTGCTCTGGCTCGAGACTGGTAGGTCCTGGGTTCGAATCTCGCTCGCGAGGTGGGATCGTGAATGCGCACTGCTGAGGAGTCCCATAGTAGGACGAAACGACCGTCTAGTGCTTCCAGGCTTTCCATGGTGATCTAGCTTCAGTTGACTCATGATTTCAACTATTAAAAATACTGAAATCTCCACAAAACCCCTTCTGATCTCAACATCTATTTTGGTCCTCCCTACTACTACTGATTTCGCCACTGCTCTGATACATTTGCTCTTCATCTTGTTATAACAGGTCAAGCCTGGCACATTGTAACCAAGCTCTATATTACGAAAGAGAGAAGCTAGAATTTCATGATACTACAAGTAAGAAAATTGTAGAAACATTAGAAAACTAAATCTTTTATTTTATTTACATTATCTCCAGTACTGCCATACAATCCACATTGCCTTCGCACTGTTTTAAATTTATTCAGATTACAATTAGAGGTACAACACTAAAAAAGAAACATAACAGAAAATTGCTTTTCAATAGTACAAGATGTTTGCAGACAAACCTTTCAAACTGTCACGAAAGCTGACCTCAGCAAAAACAGTTGTGATAGGAATATAAGTTGTAACAACTTTTACGTTACTAGAATTATGAAAAAGTATTTAAAAGTACTCAATGGAAACTATCCAATAAAGTAAAAGCTTTTGTTGTTCTACGCATTCCAAGAATAAATTTATTATATGTCCAACGTTGTTACTGAGGAATCACGGGAAAGAACTATGATGCAAATATTATCGAAGCCGACATTCCCGTTTCTTTATAGCTAGAGTGGTGAAAATGTTGTTTGCAATGGTGCCAAGTTCGTCTGCATCATCAACGGTCTTAATTTAACACCAACTTCCCAGGCTTGACCGGATACACCAGATTTCATTATTTTAATAGATAGCTCACTCACTGTCTTGTTACCGAAGAGATTAAATATCAGGAAGAGTTTTTTTTCTAATTAGAAACTGTGAACCCACAGTTATCATTTGACCAATAAGTTATAAGTATACAAACATCAATTTTGACATCAGTGTGATCAAAATGTGATTTTAAACCGCTTCATAGAATACGAATTATACGTAAAGATTAATCTCTATACCGTATGTCACGCTTTCACCTACGTACAATAATAAAAATACCTTCGAAGGTTGTTTTTTTCCATGTTGTTGATGATCGTCAACAACATGGAAAAGAAAACTATACCGAGATGCATTTCTGAATCTCAAGGTTTTGGGAAAATTAATGAGTTTCCGATTGTGGAAAAAATGACAGATTTGACATAAGAACGAGCATCTGCAAAAGATAAATGGTTGTTCTAACCGGTTGGGCCCAACTCACATATATATACTCACATATCTACGACGCCGGAACGAACTAGCATACTTGAATTAACTTAAGTAACGAATTATATAATCAACGAAGAATTATGAAATAAAATATAGTATGAAATAGATTCAAAATAAGCTGAAGCGAACAACGAAACCACGTACAGCGAGAAAAGCAAACCAGACCGCCTTATACGATCCTGGCGGTCTCAATCAAGGCTAAGGTCGTTCTAAACATTTAAAATAATTAAAGCGTTTTTACAGCTTTATGGGTATTTTTGACAAGAACTTGTTGCGCTTTGTACACTGAAGTATGGCATTCATTGTAAATTCCTTTGTGATCTAAAATGTATCAGAACATTGAGAAGCCTGTTTAGATAAATCGTTTGTTTTGAGCTAGCTCTTCAGAAAGATATTAGATGTTGGGATCGCCAACTCGAACTACAATTGTGTTTTCATTTGGTCAACGAGTTACGTCAAGGAAACTTCGTGAGCAGCAAACTTATGATATTTCCATGATCACTGTAGTATTGTAGCATATTTTACGAAAACCTATGTTAAGTTTAATTTGTATGCTGACAAATCTGCAAAATAAATCACTATGCTGAAATAAGGAATAACATTTCATCGCCACAGCTCTTCATCATGGGGCCCATGTAAATTTCTAATATCGTTCGTAAAATCATGTGTTCAGTGTTCCTAAATGGGTTTAATCACCTATCTCATGTAACGTATTACTGACAAAGAAGTTTTACAGAATATAAACGTCTGAGATCCACGATCTCCAGATGAATAGCCAATTGTAGGAGTAATATTTTAGAACAGTACAACAGTCAGTATATACGACGATTACGTGTAGAATTTTGATATAACTAGAGATCATACGAGCTGTTTATCCTGAGGATACAACGGATATTCTAGTTTGGCAACTAGCAACCAGTAGTATCTTCTATAGTCGTTCTTTCCCAGTCGAATAGAAACCAGAAGTCAGACGAGGAGAGGTAGGGAAGATATATTTGATACGTTACCAATATATCGAGAAACCTCTACTATAAGCTGGCTAATGAACGTAGAAGTTGTGTCCCACGCCGTGTTGCAACGTGATCTGGTAGGGATGCATGACCGAAAGCCTTCAGCTAAACAAGTCCACTTAAACAACGTGGTCAGCATCCAATGTCGAGCACTTAATGAGCTATTGATTTTGGGGATTTATTTACAGCTACAATCCGTACAGGATCTGGGCTTGAACTACCTAGTCACCACTCCTTCAACTTTGAAAATTTCTTCGTTATGATTGCCATGTTCTACATGGTTTAACCATGTATTTTTGGTTTTGCAGCGTAACAAGAGTCATTTATACTTTGCAGTTTTCATCTGTTGATTAATTTACATCCTTTCTTTTGAAGGCCACGATAGGCTAGTCTCAGATATGCATTTAGAAGGCGCTCGCTTCGCCTAGTCTAATTGTGTTTGTGTCATATAACAGTTAAAGTAACAAATCTTGAAATACGTCTATGGATAAATATTATAATCAGCAATTTTGAGCTGTTGATTGTACTACGTTAATACGATTGTTCTGTAACCTGATCTCACACTTGAAAAGGTTGGATTGTTGAACCTCTGAACATAAGAACTAGAAACGACTATGATAAGGTCACCCAAACTGACTAGTTTTTATGGTGGATTATGGAAGCTTTTGAGTCCATTAAATCTAATAACTTGAAGTATGCGTCAAAGTTATTTGGCCTATCTGAAATATTAAAGAAAACGACTGATTATATTTCGCTTAACCCGAACGTTCAGTAGCTGAGGATTGAGTCATAAACTTGTGATGAGACTTGCAGTGTATATACATACAATCTCTATTTAACACTCTAATGGAATTTATATTTCAGACTAACAACTCGAGATCTCTAATCTCAAACTTAAAAACCTCTGTGTAATGGTTCAACTGTGTCTACTTTGTGTGTACAGAGTTATAAAACGCTTCTTGGTTATTAATACTACTGAATTCCAATGATCGCGCCACTGAAAATAAATATGACCATTTTAACTGAAACCTGATTTCAACCAAAAATTCAAAGAATATTTAAAAGTGAAGACTCAGATGTACACATTACGATTTTGAAATCGCAGAAGGTTTGGGCAATAGACGAATTAGGTCATCTGACCAGTTAGTTGTTGAGTGTTTCGTATAGATTCATTGACTCAACTTAATATTCTCGTTAAAAGTTAGTAAAACATGCGGACAATCTGAGTGATCTTCATACCGGTTATGTTTCCAGTGTGTTATGATGTAAGTGCGGTTTGTTTATCTCCCTAAACACATAACATTTATCTGTTATTTAGAGGTGAACAAGAGGCAAAAGTAACATCTGCGAAAATAAGCTGAACAGAATTGGACACTCTCTCTAAGATTAACACTGTAAATGTTTGACTCTATCGTAAAATTTGCAGATATTTAGCCCACTGGAGTTGGAAGGGGATCACGTGAAAAGCTGGCTCAGATAATCTTAAGTCCCAGCCACAACAACTTGGCAGGTCAGGCAGTGTGGCCTTTTCAGTGCCTGTACAGGACAAAAAGAACCATGTTAATGCAATAGTAATGTAAGTGTCACATACCTCAGTTCCATGGTATACGTTCAGCTTGGTGAGTCATTTGGATAGGGCTCACGGTTATTGATCTGTGTCTACATGTTCATCTGCCACAGCGTTGCTAATCTTTTAGTTATTCTAGACTCTGATCCTTAAATTTAGAGCACGTAGAGGACAGTAAATGAAGGAATGAATAAGAGACTAGTTCTCTCCTGCCAATAAATGAATTTAACGAGCGACATAGGCTATCTCCGTAACCGTGAGTTATTTCCACTGGTTGTTTTCTTTATATATCGCTGGTGTAATTATTTTATCAGTTTCTTGCTCATGTACTAAATTTAGCTCTGATTTCACTGATTATGGGTCAAAAAGAAATGATTGAAAACCTTGTAATATTAATGCAACCAAAAGTTCTTACAATACTTTATCAAGAAAAACTGAAAGTATATGAACGATTATTAACTCTTATGAAAGTTATTAATTTCACTATTTGAGACGCATTTGTTTTGCTATAATACAGAACTAGTAGCGGTAAATAAACTACGGAAATCAGTAGCTTTGTAAATTCTCGATATTTGATACTAATCACATTAGTTTTAATGGACTGCCTTAGCTTAATGCTCTCAGTTATGCATCCTCACCAGATCACGGGTAGGTATGCGTACCTCACTTGTCCCACAACCGCTCGCTAGCTTAAATTGTTTACTTCTTGGTGCATCGATATTCTATCAATTATATCTTCGAACCTCCATTCCATTGTATTCTTATTCAAAGTCGGTAATCAATCGACCTTCCTTCAATGACAGACTCCAGCAATGTTTGAACGTGACAAACACAAGTCTACAATAATCTATATATCTCGATAAAAACGAGTTATCATGTTAATGACCACGCTAGTTATTTGGATAAAAGGTATTCGACAAATAAACGTCCCACCATATTCACGGTTATTAGCTCAAAATATGAGAAGAAATTAGTTCCAAATATTCCGCTAAGTTTAGTGGTATTTACCGGGACGGGTTTTATACTCTTAAATTTCTTTATAATATATAGAGCAATGGAAAATCGAGATAGAGTTTGTGTCCTACGTGCAGTAGTCGTTTAAATGTTCTGATAATCTTACGCTTCTTCCAGAACGCGTTGTCTTAAGTTTATTTTCCGACGTTGACGAAGTATCCACGTGTGTGTCGGCTGTCGTGTGGGGTAATGCAAGTGTAGGAGCTGTCATTCGATTGTACCGAGGGAAAACCGACGTAGATGGGATTTCCTTTTAAATGCGTTGCTTTGATTCGTTCCATGCTGATGTTGTCGTTAGTGCCGTTCTTATCGACTACATAGTACTGAGGTTTACGCTGAAGAACTTTGAAGGGTCCTTCGTATGCTGATGCGAAGGGTTGTCCATGTGAGTCTCAACGTACGAAGAAATGTGTACTATATTGTTAGTCAGGATGAACGAAGACATCAGTTGATTGCGGTCGAGTGTAGGCAGGTTTAACTGAACTCTTTATGTTTGTAAGCCCGTTCGTGTAAATGTTTAGATCCATGTTCACTGAAGAAGATGAAGGATCCACGAATTCCCCTGGAAGTTGTATCGTAAACGACTTGAGCTGCAGTATATCCAATGCTAGCTCTCACTGCATTGAGAATACCCTAGAAAGACGAGTGGAAAAGCGTCTGTTCACTGTGAAACGTTTGTACCTGGTAGAGAAGATTTTAGTTGTCAGCATAACCGTTCTGCCAACTCGATCGGAAGCGAGTGAATTCTAATAGTTTGGCCAGACAACGGAAAAGTCCAGATTGAAACTGGCGTGCACTTTAAGTAGTGATAGTTGAAAGGCAGCCGAAATTCGCTACCCGTAGTTCGACGAAGGCGCGGGACACTGTTTCAGCAGTAATGTCCTTGATAGGTGCTGCTTCTGCCCAACGAGTGAAACGGTCTACGTAGAATAAAAGATAAGAGTATCCATTTGAATCCAATAAAGGTCCTACGAAATCCAGATGAACGTGGTCGATTCGATGTCTAGCAATTGTCTCGAGAAAAATGCCACAGCTTGCTAAGAGTGATTAACCCACTGTTGTAAGACTCCTCCGATTGCTGAGTCGGTTGGATCTACTGCGATACTGATGAATGCTTCAGTGTCTTGTTGTTCAAGCATGGTTGCCTTTGCTATAAGTTCCTTAACTGTGGAAAATGCTTCTCTCGTATAGCGTACAGATTAATGGGTTTCGCATTACCACGGAGTTGGTCTGTCAGCGGTTTCATAAGGGACGCGCATTTTGGTATGAACCGTCTACAGAAACTTACAAGGCTGTCTAATGTGCGCAATGGTTTAATGGTGATCGGTTCTGAGTAATTCATAATTACCACCATTTCGCTTCTGAGAGGTCATATTCCTTGAGCATCAAAGGTGTGTCCTTAGAAATCTAAGGAGTCAGCTCCAATTTGAATGTTTACAGTAATCCCATGCTTTTGCAGTCGTTCGAACACAATGTCCAGATGCTGGAGAAGGAATTCTGTGTTCGGACATGCTATCAGATAGTCATCAACATACGCATGTACGAATTTGGGACCTCGGAAATCGTCATCTATGAACCTTTGGAAGGTTTGGACAGCATTCCTTAGACCGAAGGGCATTCGTAAAAATTCGTAGAGGCCGAAGGAAGTTATTATAGCGGTTTTTGGAATGTCGTCAGTTGCCATAGGAATTTCGTTATAAGATTTAACTAAGTCGATTTTCAAAAAGACAGTTATACCTTTCAAGGTAGCTGTCAAATCGTGAATGTGGGGCGATGGGTAACGATTGGGAATGGTTTTAGCATTCAGACGCCGATAATCACCAGTTGGACGCCAATCATTGCTGTCTTTTTTAGGGACCATGTGCAGGGGAGATGACCATGAGCTATTTGACGGTCGAATAATTCCCAAGTCTATCACGTTTTTGAA